GGGGGGGGGGGGCAGAAAAGGAGTCATGAAGTTTTTCAATATGCTAATTAGATAACAGCTCTTTCGCAAATTTGAATCCAACGACGTGGACGACTCCCTCCTCATACCGGTGGTGCAAATCGTGCAGGCCCTTCAGGAAAGACGCTATGTCGACGCCAACGACGACTATCTCCGTTTGAGTATCGGCAAGGCGGCCTGGCCTATTGGCGTGACCATGGTTGGTATCCACGAGAGAAGTGCTCGCGAGAAGCTGCATAATGGTGAGAAGGGTCACGTCATGGGTGATGAGGTTACGCGCAAGATTTTGCAGAGCATCAAGCGCTGTCTTACCTTTGCACAAGTGAGGTGGCCGCCGACGGATTTGAGACAGTTGATGGGCTGAGCGCCGCGTATGATTGAGGTGAACGGAAACCAAGTTTAAGAATCATCAATGAGTGGAACAGTCCGGCCTCTACATATGTGCATTATGACTTGGCATGGGATGGATGGGCGGTATATATGTAGTTGGGCTTGAGAGCCGTAGTGCATAGGTGGACATAGAGTAAGCTAGAGACGCATATGGTAAACTGTAAAAACGCACAATGATACCCACAGAATTGATTATATTTTAGCAAAGCTGTGCCATCTCTATCTGAGTTGGATATGATGTCTTCGTCATCTACCAGCAAGCGACTGTGGCAGGTTGGTGTGACTAGGAATACTGTGCTGCGTTGTTGATCTGCTGCAGCAAAGGGAATGAGACCAAAAATAAATACATAAACAATAAGTCATTGATTCTGTCGTTATGTATCATCTCTCATGGATCAGTCATCGTGCCGTTACAGCCGTCCTCCAGATACTGGCACCATCAGTACCCACGCCAATTGCTGAGCGTAGCCACAAGAGGGGGCTATTTCAGAGTTAGATTACCATTTTTGCACCAATTGGGCTGGTATGGACCAGTCTAGATTGTATGATATTTCGGTGAGACAAGCTCTGGGGAGTAATATCAAACAGGAACTATTCCTGATGCTTGGCTGCTTACGCTTATTTGGTTATCTGCCTCAGCTTGCCGCTTCCAGTTCAGCCTCTTGGGGGGATGATTGCTTATTCTCATCATACCAAGCCTCATCCAAGCTTGAACTGGCAGCACCACCTGAGGTTGCCTTCTTCCCTCCCACTACATCTAGTCCAGCTGCTATCAGGCTAATACGGCGCAATCGTTCCTTGGCTTCCCGCTCGTAATTCCGAGCCACCAGTAGTGCTTCTTTCTGCATTACTGCCCGGGCGTCGGGCCGAACGGCAACAAGAAGCTAAGGAGATGGTTAGTATAAATCTGATAATTTTTTTTTGGATCTGTCTGTATTGTAGTGAATCTCTCCTACCTTGTTTTTCGCATCGATACGCGCCTTCAATGCGTCTTGACGGATCATTTCTACTAGCTCGGGGCCGATAGATGTGCCTGCCTGCGCAAATGCTGCATCTAGGCTTTCGAGCGTAACGCATGAAAATGGAACAAAGTATTGGACGATACACTTAGTACGAATCTTGGAGTAGACGGCTGGGACGTGGCTCTGCAGATAAATATCCAGGAGATAATCTGCCCGGGAGCCTTCTAGTATAGAGAGACAGCTTGAATATCGACCATTCACGAATAGGCTGATGGCCTTTCGAATATGCGGCTCATGTTCAAGAAATGTGCGAAAGGACTGGTTGTCCAATACTCGCTGCTGAAGTTCCTTCCGATCCATGGTAGCAAGGGCCAGAAGACCACCATAGACGGCGGCATCGTTTGGACTGGCTATATGGCTATATTCCGTTGGGGGCACGGTAGAATCTGTTCCCAAGAAGGCCTTTGCAGCATCTTCAAAGCGCGCCATGCCCAGAAGGGCAATCCCAGAGGCAATTCTCGTGTATGCCTGCAGTGCCTTTTCATCATCCCCATTCTGCACAGCTGTGATTTTACCAAGGTTGTTCAACACCATGGCATAATCGCGACGGTGGAGAGAGACGTTGGCGAGATGCATGCCACAGTCGACGATATGTTTGGTGGTGCTCACATCCTGACGCATCCTGGTATACGCCTCGGTGGCTTCATTGAGCCTTCCTATGCTTTCGAAATGTTTACCAAGGTCCTCGTTACCCATCTGAATAGTGATGCCATGGTTAACTCTATGAATGCCGGTAATTTCAAAAGGCTTGCTCGCTTAGGGGTACATGGGATACGAACCCGGATGCTCTCTTTGATAAGATTGTTTCTATAGCCTTTCAACTCCCCCTCGAGTCTTGCCGTCTCGGCCTTATTCGCCATCTCCGTTCGTTCTATCCACGCATCGTCTCTCTGGGCTTCTGGGTCATTTGGTGCCACTGTCCTTAAGGCATCCCACGCATCGCGGTAACGGTTGACATCGTTTCCTGCCTTGGCCTCGACAACAGCAGCTTTCAGAGCCTCAACACAAAGCGACGCGGAGCTCTGGCCGATCAAAAAGAGGCGATCGAAGCGAGTTCGGCCTAGCCAAGGTTAGCCCAGCACTGGTTGGGAGGCATGACTTTGTGGTATGGGACTGTTATGGTTGCTGTGCCTGGGCGCATCATACCGACATAATTTTGGATATAGAGCCCAAGGTCAAGCTTCGGCAAGTCTAGTAAGAAGAGTTGGAGGAGTTAGCTGCTTTAAGCATCAAGGATTTGGAAAGTCGACGGAGCTCTGAATACCAAGTACAACGACGCCACCCAAGTTGCTCTGCTTGGCAAGGTAGTCAAGAACTGCGTCGGAAGCTGCCATGACAACTGAGGAAGCCAATGCCGCGCCAGCTTGGAGCGTTGCTGACTTTAACGGTGGCGAGGTTGAGATGGCAGGGCTGGGTTTTTAGACAACGGAGCATGAGCACACGTGCAGCCTTCGAAATGTGTCGTACAGCTGTTCTGCGGCAGCACTTGAGGGGTCAAGTCTGGTTCAAATGTCATGTTGGCGTTAGCGTGCTTGGCGGAGAAACTCAAGCGCCCAAGCGCCCAAGCGCTCGCTGCGTGCAAGCACCGGCGCAGCACATCATGTGGTCTGGTGCATCAATTGCTGTGTTAACTGTACACTCTTGGCCTATTTCCCCATCATTAGTTGTCAGCTCAGCACTGTCCTTCCAATGTAAGACAACTCCACCAGTTGATTTCAGGTGCACAATCAAGCACCCAACCCCTTGTTCCTGCATTTGCCCGTTAGCATCGTTTCCATACCGGCCAACGCTGAATTATACATAAATTTAGGCGTGAAATTGCTGGTCCGACACAAAGGTGCGGTGGCAACTCTCGGAGCACGGATTACGAGCTACGTACTAGTTACTCCAGCCCACCTTAACATGTGAGTTGGAGCAGGAATGTTGTACAAAGTAACTACTTGCAGGTAGGTACCCGGGGTTATGAGACTTGGTCAACAAGCTTACTTCTGCGCTTCAGCAAATGCGCTCGCTAACAAACAATGCACACTGATATGAAATATCAATTAGTATTTGAGCTAACACCCTTCCACCAGAGCCACTCCCCCGCTTCGATTCCAAGTTCCCGGCAGCTCCCAACCAGGCGACAGGGATGTCTCCTCCCCCAATTGATTCAGCTTGGCGATCTGCGGACATATCGAGTGCGTACTACATCCGGGATAAAGGCCCATCCCGGCTTGTCATGGCCGCTCGATGCGTTTAATGGCTGGGTGGAACATGGAAAAGGCGGCTGACAATAGAAGCGCCCTTCTCTTCTCTTCTCTTCTCTCTTTTTCTTTTTCTTTTCCTTTCCTTTCTACATCTTCAAATCTCAGCTTCTGGACATCGGCCATGCTCTTTCATTCCAGAGACGGCGTGTATAAGACAAGAATAAGTAGCTACGCCCCTAGACGTGCATAACGTGCAATGCCCGATCCCTCGTGCACACCCTGAAAGAAATAAAAATATCTTGGCGAGTTCGATGGCGCTTCTTGGCTACGGAAGAAAGCGGGCCAGGATGAGACGCGGCGCATAGTCAAGAAGCGAGGGAGGAGAACAGAGAAACAACACATGAACGGGACGTCGACTATCGAACAGAATGCGTCTGGTTGCTTAAACCATTGTCGCGTCCTTTCAATCAAACAGCACATGACCGCCTCTTCATTTGACTTTGGTACGGCAAGTGCCGCTTAGGCTTCCTGTTCTGGCAAAAGTTTCCCATCCGCCACCGTCGGCGAAAGGAACCATCTGGGAGCATCTGTTGGACCAGAACCGTCTTCTCGGCTCCTACGGCAACTCTAGCTCCCTTTATGATAGGGGGGAGAGGCACCTCGCGTTGCCAAGCGGGGCCAATCTGATACATCCGCTGCGCCCTTTTACGCAGTACGTTTTCTTGAATTGAATTCAAAGGTTAGATCTAGAGAACGCGTCAATGGGGCAGTGCAAAAAAGTGAGACAAGGGGAAAACGGCCAGTGAGAAGCAAGAGGAGCGTCGCACCTGGGACGGTGAGGCGCTGCGTGTATTGATCCGATGTTTGAACTTTGAACGATCGGGACGAAAGTGCCGCGTTGCGCAGGCCAGCGCCGACAAACTTGGAGAAGCAGATGATGAAACTGACAGCATCCTAACATGAGCATCTCGAGCCCTGCCCTCCAATCACAACGTCAGTATCCCGTACACGGGAAAAATGAGAGTTGCGTAGCATGTACCACCAGACGCGGGACTGTATTTTTGCAAGTGAGCATTTATTGATAATCGATGCCGTAGTAGGGTCTTGGCGTGGACAAACTGTGATGTAATGGATGCAACGAATCAGCAAACACACCGTTGCATTGATGGTTCTCGCTCTCTTTGTTTCAGGCCATGGGACCGATGATAAAACATGTCTTGTTGACCTCGTAATGACTGCAATGATGTAGTCCATTAATAGAGTCGGCAACGTGCTGCAGACCAATGTGTGGCCCAAAGACGCCGGTTTGCGTTATCTAAACCTCAACCTTAACCCAAAACCCAAATAAAACCGAGCTCCTTCCTGGTATTCTGGCCTTTGCACCTGCAATGCGCAGCATATTAGCCAGAACTCAAACCCGGGCCTTCACTTATTGCACCGGCCGTTCTGGCCTTGGTTCATTGGCTGCTTTGGTCTGTCGACTGACAACTCGGAAACCTAACAAACCTTGAGGAGGCTCCATCCCTGTGCGTTGCCTGGTCTGAGAATGATTTCTTGCATGATATTTGTCATTTGTTCGTGTGTTTTTCGGCACAAAGCACGAATTTGGCAATGAGGACCTGATTTTTCCACGTAAGAGAGGAGAATGGTGAGGAGAATTGGCGGCGTCGCCAACTCGGCCACATTCTAGCATCTGTCGAGAATCTTCTCGGCCATATCTCTGTCGCTGTCCGTAGTCCAGAAAGCCTTTCGCCGCTCGGAGTTGGCGACCCGTTATAGCCGGATAAAAGGGTTCCGTATTTTGGCATCCCGCAGAGCTAGCGGCCTGACGAAAGCTCTGATGCTACGCACTTTGACGCCACACAATCGGCAAAGCCTTTTGATCGGTGCCAAAGGCTAGCCGCTGGGATAGAGCCTTTTGAATATTTCTGCCAAGTTATCTCTGTCGTATGTCGATACATATTCCTAACAGACTATCTATGTCGAAGCTAGACAATAGCTTACGTGAAAGGAGGCCTCGTCTTGCTTCATGCACAAGATTAACCGAGTTCCCCAGGCTGGCTTCCTCGCTCTGTTAAATTCTGTGATTTGTGTTCTCAAGACTCTTGGACGTCACATACGATCTGTGAATTGATGCCCCAACGTCGAGTACCGCTAGTGGCTAAAGTAGCATGCTGGTCTGAGCCTTTTTTACATCCATAAAACTTTGATTGTTTTCTATTTCTGGGTCGGCGTGGCACTGATCCATTCGCGACGAATTCTGTGGCTGCCAAAACTCCACGGGTCGTGATGGCTCTACTGAGCAACACAAGGCGCGATTGCTGCAAAAGTCGTGCACGCAGAGGTCATTCTGCATTTTTTCAGGAGCTGTGCATCTATATATTGCGATGATGAAGTAGTTCTTCAGAAAGAGATACACGAATGCAGTCTTGCGGGTTAACAATTTTGACTCGTATGCTCCGAAGAGGATAAACCACTCTTCTGGAGTCATTCTAGTAAGTGGTGTCAGTCGACAAAGGAGTCAAACGTCTGGCACGCTTGGCTTCGCGGTAACAGGACAGCTTCAAAGACTGCCATACTTGCTGGAACATGCAGCTTGATTCCATTCATGCCTGATCAGAATTTGTTACGTCTTGTACAGGCAAATTGGCACGCCAGAGCATAGACTACCTAGGTATATATCTGGCATCTTAGGCGGGGTCATTTCTTGAGTTTAAAGAATCTTCGCGATGACCGAGTTGTTAGCGTTGACTTGTCGGTCCAGATATTTCTTTTATTGAACAACCTAGAGTTCGACCACCCGGCAGCTCGATATCTTTTTGCATGTGGAACATCGTACCGGATTTCAGAGGCGGAACAGGCCAATCGCCGTAGTGTAGTATTCACATATTCCCGACATATCGTTTCTGTGACCCAAGGGGCCAGCAAACGCAGGAGCAAGTCGGTAGCGAACCGGGCAAACCAGGTTTTCGTACGCGGTAGCTCCATATGCTTCACCACCAAGTCGCCCCTCGCACGAACACTTGACGTCTAATCTTGCGCACGGTCACCTTCCACACCGCGGGAAGCCAAATTTGAGTCTTGGATTACCGGCTATGGCGAGATCTGTTTGCTCGTCGCGAAGTACACGCTGGTATACTGCAGTATGTTGTAGTATCGCGCGATAATCCGCTACTCTGGTTGTTTCGGCCCTGGCATCCAGAGGCCAACGCCTTTCTTGTAAATTTGTGGCCATTAATGATTGACACTGGGCCCGGCCCCAGCTGCTGATAGATAATACAGAGCGTTCGTCGGGCGCGTCACTTTTCCAATGCCGACCTCTTCGAATGCCTGACCGGAGTAGTTTATCGGAAGTGGGCATTTGATTCCATACCGTGCGCCAACCAGAGTCAATGCCACCACTTTCACCACTGGAGATGCAAAAAGTATTGCGGTATGAACACTGGGGTACGGAGTACACTAACTGTCCGTGACTCCAGCGTGCTCCATTTTCAGACCAATGGATGTCCAACATTGCGGTTGGCGATGCCCACTTGTCCAGTTACGGTGACTTACTTATTCCGATATTGCAGTTTGTTCAGCAGGCAATACCTGACCAATGCTGCAGCTTGCTTATTGACGCTCGGGTTCCTTTGTAGTCACCTGTGGTGGATGGGACGAGAAAAGATGGCTTAACACGCGAACACGGTTCAATGTTAGCTGACTGCGAGTCAATATCTCTCCAAACATCTACGGAGTGGCAAGCTCGTGGTTGTTTGGGTGCCGAGCCTTTTAAGCCATGAACCTGGCCCTAAACCGCAGCCTATTTCTTGTCGCCGTCTATTCCAACTTGAGAGAATTTTTGTGCCCATATTGTATTGTACTAGCCAGCAAGTTGGTCAAAAGGCTGCTCCAGGTCTTGCTGCGACAGCTTCGCAGGTCCCTTCAACTTCGCAAGCTGCGTGGTTGCTCATTTATTGCCATAGGCATCTGTGCTACAACGATGGATCTCGGTCATAACCCCCTCCCACTTCACGGTGGCCCCGCTTGGTTCCGTTATTCCCACCAGGCACTGGGGCTTTCTGGGTGGCGTTCGGATGTGTATGGATGTATATGCTCGGTTGTGGAATTTTGGCACGGAGGACCCCGCTTTCTCGCAGGAACCAGTCGATGTCTTTTTGTACGAAGTTGGGCCCTCGAGTGGCCTGCCTCGAAGGCCACAGAAAACGTACGGAGCAGTAGCGGTAGGCTGGTAGCAGAGGTAATAATGCCCTTTGGCCCTCTTGTCGAGGCCCAGTTTAGCCTTCAAGGCCACCTACGGGCCCGAAACAGTACGCGTAGAACTATCCACTTTTGAGAAATGTTGCTGCCGCGGCGTCAGCTCGTGTCCGTGAGCTGCGCGTGGGAGTTTAGCCATGCGGAGTCAACGCACCTCTCGCAGCGCTTCTGAAAACCCGCAATGGCGTGGTCTGTGATTAGTGACTAACTTACCTAGTAACTAATGACTAGGTGCAACGCCATCACCCGTGGATGTCAAGCGACCATCTGGTCAACGGCTCTCATATTTGAGAGTAAATACCTGGACGTCTGTGCTTGCCATGTCAACCGGGCCTGTAATTTCGTAGAAAGGTACGGAGTGCAGTGGACGGACGTCGTATCGACAGAGGATCCGGCGTTATTCCCGCAGCCGCTCTCGAGGGCCTACAAAGTAGTACGTACGTATGCGGGTTCAGGACGGCTGTCAGATCGATGCTTGCTTGCGTAAGTCGATAGTGAAGCATTTGACTCGTCGCTGGCGGTTCCGTACTGGGGAACTGGGAGACCGGACTGGCTGAAGCTGATCGCTGCTGCCGTCAATCGATTGCTCCTTCCTCGCTCGCTCACTCGGCCGCTCACTCGGCCACTCACTCACACACACTCAGTCACTCACCAGACAGACTCCAAGACACCACCATCCGCCCCCGGGTTGACTTGACCACTCGCGCACCCACGCTCCCTCCAAAGGCCCGCCTTCCCGAGTCCTCAATCGCCAACCCACTGCTGCATCCTCAATTCTCTTACGTCCTGTGCCGCTGAGTCTGCTCGTTCTTGTTCACCTTGCCTACGCCTTAACCCTCCTCGTCCTTCGCTACGAACATTGAGCATCGAGGCTCACTGCGCCCATCTGATGGCCTAGATTGCCAGACACCAGGGCAATTGGGACATGCGCTGCCTTTGGCTTCGCACCCCCCGATCTGCATCTTGGTCGCTCACCATCTTCACCCCTCCCCCATTAGCCTAAAGGGAGCACCATCGCCGACTGCCCTGCCCAGCTCTAATTTGCGAACTGCGTCAACTTTGTCACGCTGTGATAGCCATATTTGCGACCGTGCCGCTCTCAATACTTGACGTCTTTGCATTGGGGAACGTATCGTTGGTTTATCTGTCCTAGACTCCAGCGCATGATCTTTTACTCCGAACTTCTCACAGCCCGTCCGATCGCCGCTAGCCCCAACACTCATAACAACACTCACGACCCGATATCTGCTACCTTGCTTTCGAGCGATCACGACGCCCATCATGGCGACGGAAATGGCTGAGGACGACGCCGGGGCGTTGTCCGTCGGCGACTGGCAAATTTCTGATGTCCCCTCCCCGGCCGACAGCTCCAAGTCCGACACCGAAGTGGATGAAAAGGCTGGTTCCGACCCAAATGCGCCTTCACAACCAATACAAAAGCGCCGGCGAGTTACTCGCGCTTGTGACGAATGCCGCCGTAAGAAGATCAAGTGTGACGGGAAACAACCATGCACCCACTGCTCCGTGTATAGCTACGGTAAGATGTGATAAAATTCTTCCGATATGTAGTGGGCGAGTATAGAGGGCCACTTGTTATGTATCGCACCCGGTTTGTTGGATTATTTTGCTAACCATATGTTGTTTTTGTTGCGCCTCAAAAGAATGTACTTACGACAAGCCGTCAAACCGTCGAAGGAACCCTGCGCCACAATACATCGAAGCGTTGGAAAGCAGACTACAACGGGCGGAGACTCTACTACGAAAGTTTATGCCCGATGTCGATTTAGCCGACCCAAATCTGGACCCAGCCATTCAACAAGAGTTTCACAATCGTGAACAGGCACGCGCGGGGGCTGGCAAAATGCGATCCGCCGCCGCGGCAGCACCCGATGCCGGAGATGCTAAGCTCATGACCATGATCGATTCAATAGGCCAACTTGATTTGGATGACAAGGGTGGATGGGATTTTCATGGTACCTCCTCAGGTGCTGTCTTTTTGAAGAGAATGAAGGAACAATTCCGCGGGCTTCTTGGTCCAGTTAGCAAGGCACCTTTCTTACCACGGGCCGAACGTGCGTCAGGCCTCAGTGCACTTGATACGCCTTCTCCGGCGGCTGGCTCATCTCCATTTTCGTCAATCTCTGCATATCCCGAGCTTCCGCCAAAGGATATCGCCAGGAAGCTTTGCTATTACTCTTTGAGCTGCGCAACATGTCTCGTTCGAATCATTCATATACCGACGTTTTATGAAAAATTCGAGCAGATTTATGACAGACCAATCGAGAGTCTCAACCAGGAAGAAACTCATTTCTTGGGACTTGTTCATGCGGTCATTGCCTTGGGCTGCATGTACAACAACCTCGAGGACTCCAACCCAACTGCTGGAGGTTACAAGACGGCAATTGAAGAAGGGTAAGCTGAAATATATATGCCTCTTTTATATATGTTTGTGCTTTACAGTTCGCAAAGCAAGAAGCTAATATTGATTTCTGTAGTCTCAAATATTATCGTGCCGCCAAAAGCCTGCTGCAAGATCTTGCCGACTGCCGCGATATTGTCTCGCTTCAAGCCTTACTTTTCATGACTCTGTTTCTCCAAGCGACCTCTAATCTTAGTGCTTGCTACTCTTTTGTGGGTATTGCTTTACGCTCAGCTTTGCGCATAGGCTTGCATCGGCACCTGGAGCACGAAAAGATTGGAGTGATTGAACAAGAAGTTCGCAAGCGAGTATTTTATGTTATTCGACAGATGGACATATACGTATCTACCATGCTTGGCTTTCCGCTCCTTCTCAATATCGACGACGTTGACCAGCCGTTCCCGACTGAGGTTGATGACGAGTTTATCACAGATACGGGCATCATGCCACCTCCTCTTGGCACACCCTCCTTCTTTGAAGCGTTCAATGCCCACACTCGCTTGATGGAGGTGCTTGGCAAGATCACGAAATTTGTGTATCCCATGCACATGCAAGGCCAACCGGCTGGAAAAGGGGACAGCAGCACCACATCTTGTCTCATTAGTTACGGCCGCATCAAGGAAATTGAGGCCGATTTGCAAACTTGGTATGATAGACTGCCGGAGATGTGGCGACCGAGCCCAGATGGGCCGATAGAGGTTGTTCGGTGAGGACCCTTCCTATTTGAATCCTATAAAGAGAAGAGTCTTGGCCATACTAACTCGGTTTTTGCAGTGTGAGGCATCTCCTACGTTTTGCCTATGCTCACGTTCAGCTCGTCTTATATCGACCTTTTCTTCATTATATTTCTCCTCGACACAGTCATGGAACTAAGGTTGATGAATTATCATATGCATGCGCGGCTGCCGCCGTAAGTGTGTCACGTAATATTGTACATATCGGGCTAGAGATTCGGAAGCAGCGCGTCCTCAGTGGGCCTTACTGGTTCATGCTTTACACCGAATTCTACGCCGTACTCTCGCTGGTATTTTACGCTATCGAGAATCCCGACAAGCCTGGTTCTCAAGAAGTCTTGGCCGATGCTCACGCCGGGCGTCAAATGATCGCTGACCTGGCAGACAAAATTCTCTCAGCCGATAGAGTGACCAAAGCACTAAAAGTTGGTAGAATTTGACTGAACATGCGTATTGAATGGGATAGGTTACTGACAGAGCTCTCCTAGGTGCTCTTTGACCAACTTCCTGAAAGGCTGGAGCAGGCCCGTTTAGCAAGGCCTGCAGGCAATTCAAGGAAACGATCTGCTGCAGGATCTAAGTCTGGGTCGATATCAACAACACACGCAGGCGCCAGCCGGACTATACCAGTGGCCAGAGCCGAAGATTTCATCCGAAGCCGCAGCGGCGGCCTCCCAGGGCCCTTTGGAGCACCAAACTCTCGAGGCTCTGCTGATGGCAGTATGGGCCAGTCATTGGACCCAAGCTTCCATGACATTCCCTTTTCAGGCAGTATGCATGATATTCTTCCTATGGACTTGTCATCTCGGACAACCCCCGACTCCACCAGCAGTGCAAGCAGCACTCACCGACACGGGTTTCCATCACAATCACTCAATGCCCATGCTATACACAACCCTGTGAACAAACTGGACTCTCTCATGTTTCCGTCCGAAGACCCCTTCGCTTACCCTAACCAGCCCATGATGGAGCTTGGCTTTCAACCAAAGGCAGATGCACCGGGAATCACCATGGCCGCCCCGAATGCATCATTCTTCTTCACTGGCTCCTTTGAGGAGATGGGTGATCAGATTCTGGGACAACCTCCACCGTACATGACTCCCCAACAACAACAACAACCCCACCCCATGGGAATGGCAGCGTCCATGTACGACCCGCACAGTATGATGACACTGCACTCTACTCAGCAGCAACAACACAACAGGCAAATGCAACAGCAGGCCATACATCAACAGCAGCACCAGCAACAACAAGGCGGGGGGATATTCGCCAGCTTCCGTCGTGCCAGAGCGGACAGGCAGCAAGAGAGACAGATCGAGCAAATGTTCACACAACAGGGTATGCAGGCGGATTGGGGGAGCTTTTTTGGTTCTGGGAGAGGTGGCTTCCAAGGAATGTGATTGACTACCACCACATGATACCCATTTTCCTTTGATTTCGTGATGTAAGGCATGGAGCGGCTGAGGCTTCGTTTCTTCTTCTTTTTTTGCGGGAAATCTGTGCGGGATTTTTCGTTTCTTTTCTTCTCTTTTGTGCTTTGATTGTTGTGACGTTTGTACAGCGTGGCCATCTATGTGGCGTAACGAGATCTGATTTTACATCTTATTCCCTTTTGCTTTGTAATGTTGGTTCTTTTGATGGCTTCATGGGAGTCGGCTTGAAGCCGTGGGACATGACCAGGTTTGGAAGCATTCACATACAGCGGCAGAATTGGACTGGCGCGTATAGGACATGCAAAGTGAGCGCATACATGGATTACACAGATTCAGATGGGGCAGGGCGATTAAAACAATACATGTAGCTTGGGGTTGGACCGTGGTTGGCGATGGATAGATGAATCTCGTTTGTTGTTTTGGGGAAACTCTGGTTGGCGAGCGGGAGTATCTGGAGTAGAGGTTGACTTGTATATACATACCTGGCGAAGTAAACAATTTACGGGGCACACGGAAGCCACCAAAGCACTGCTTGTTTCCGTTATGATGGTAATGCGAAATGTTTTCTTTTTGCCGTCTTTGCGCGCCTTGGCCGTGGCGCACCCACTGCACCACCGTGAGTCGAGAAGCGCATACCAAATACTGGACTGAAAGACGGAACGGAGCACGCTGGCCCCAGAACCAATGCCAACCAGACTCTCGAGACTAATCAATTGATACGATCAAGTTCATCATGCCGCATCAACGCCGAGCATAGTCCCGCAAAGCGGACAGGCCGTGTGCTTGCAGAAATGGCAAAGGCGGCGGAAACAATAGCAATAGCAAAAGCAAAGGCAAAAGGGTAGCATTACAGTGGATGGGCTTGAAATTACTCTGGCCTGGGTTTCGTCTGGCGCATCTACCAAAGTTCCCGCGGGTGGCAAGTTCGGAGTAGTTTGGCTGATATCCTGGGCGAATGCTGGTGCGATTGGCAAAGGGCACACGGCCGAACCCTTGGGCACGTCGGAGCCGACTTGACATTAGATATCAGATGATGGGCACACATGATTCATGAAACCCGCCCGGCGGCGTTGGGCGCATTCTCACCGACGGACAAACGCTCCTGTAGCTGGATCCGTGGGGGAAGGGAGACCGATGCATGCTTCATGGGTCAATTAGGTTATACACTCCTTTTCTGGCGTCAAGTATGCCTTGGGATGTGTGCAGGTGCGTTTGTTGTAGCGGCCCTGTTTTTCTATAGCAACCTTGAGGATACTTTTTAGTAGTAGATACTTTGTATTATATTTTTAATAATAATAAATATGACATAATGTTGGAACATATTAAATTATAAGTTTTTTTGTTAAATCATATCTTGGTTTAGTATAATAAAGGCACTTCCGCACATTCAAGGGGACGCTTTACCGTCTAGAAGTGCTTAGTTGCGTCGTGTAGAAGCACCGAGTCCATGTCGGATAATTCATCGTAACCAACCACTAGGCACCTACGAGGCGGTACATACCGGCTAGCTGCTAGGTACTTGATGTACCAATTGTCGGACGGGTTGACTTGTGGTTGGCCTACTGAGATGGCCTTCAATATACCTGGTTGAATGCATTGTGTTGTTGCTTGGTGTGCGCCTCGTATGGAAGTGTCTATGGTGGAATGTGACTGTGGAAATGTCTGGTGTTGTTAATCATGACACGCCCGCAGGCCTTGGCTAACTGGCCAACCCTAGAGCAGTGAGGCGTTCCGCGCTGAACGCATGCTCGACGGACAACCCTAGACCATTTCCCATCATCACCTTCCATTGTAGGCAGTTGTTTTAACTTGCATCGTGCATTGTCAGCAACGGAGGCTGGAAAGCGGACTAGCAACTGGTGGCGCAATAGACGGCCACAAGGGATCTTCGAGCCGGCCCTCGCACGCGGGGACGACGAGGAGAAGAACCAAGCACCGAGTCGACCGACAGGTGGTGTCATTTGAACCTTGTTGGAAATGGACTACGACCTGGTTATGGAGGACGAGTTTGACGCCCTGTGAGTTTGCCTAGTCCGACGGCCGTGTAACCGCTGGTTGAGACAGTCTGCTGATTTTTGTACGCCATGCAGCTGTTTGGATGTCAGGCGGGATCATGACTCGGCTTCAAAGACCAAATATCCTGGTAAGACTCACAGTCCAGTCGCCCAACCGCTCCTATAAAGCTTCCTGTCCAGTATCGGGAACGATGAGTACGGGGCTAATTGGGGAAAATAGCCAAGCTCCACGCCCGCAAAGTGGTCAAGGAGCTCGGCGTCGATGATGGCCTCATTTACCTCCCTGGCCAACCCGACATCTCGCTGGAGAATTCCGACCAGCCGCGACTGTTCCGTCAGCGACGATAGTATGTCCGGGAAACTCTTTGTTGCTCCCCATTCTGCCCCTCTCTTCTCCCCCACGAGGCTAACACTGGCAAAACCCTCCCTCGAAGCTTCTTCTACATAACGGGTGCCGACTTTGAGGACTGCGCCGCGACATATGAAGTCAAGCACGACAAGCTCACACTATGGGTCCCGTATGTCGAGCCTCGCCAGGTCCTCTGGTTCGGCTCTAAGCCGTCGGCTGCCGAGTGCAAGCGCCGCTACGATGTCGATGAGGTGAGATACACGACGCAGCTGAGCAGCTTCTTGCGCAGGTTCGCCGCGCAGCCCGAGCCGCCAGTCGTGTACATTCTTCACCCGGACCAGGCGCCGGACCTGGGTCATGGAAGCCAGTCCCAGCTGCGTCTCGACTCCTCCCTCCTGCTGCCGGCCATGGACCGCGCCCGTGTTGTCAAGTCCGACTACGAAGTCGCCATGGTGCGCCGCGCCAACGACATCTCGAGCGCCGCCCATCGCAGGGTTGCGGAGCGCATCTTGCGTCTCACCAACGAGCGGGAGATTGAGGCCATTATCCAGGCGGTGTGCATTGCCAACGGCTCACGATCCCAGGCGTATCCCATCATTGCCGGGTCGGGGGCCAACGGCGCGACCCTGCACTACGGCGCCAACAACGCCCCCCTCGGGGGCAAGCAGTGCGTCGTCATTGACGCCGGCTGTGAATGGAACTGCTACGCGAGTGACATCACGCGCACGCTGCCGCTCTCGGGCTCGTGGACGCCGAAAGCGGCCGCCATCCACGCCATTGTCCAGCGCATGCAGCAAGAGTGCATCGCCAAGGTTGGGCCGGGAACGGCCTGGCGCGACATTCACCTTCACGCGGCTTCGCTCGGCATGGAGGGCCTGCTCGGGCTCGGCATTCTTAAGGGCCGCCGTGAAGATGTTGCTCGCGCCGGCACCGTCGCTGCCTTCTTCCCGCACGGCCTCGGCCATCACGTTGGATTGGAGGTCCACGATGTCTCCGGTACGCTGGCCCTTTCCGCCGCCGAGGGACACGGCACGCAGCTCGACTTTGGAAAGAGGGCCATGGTGACGCCCTCGATGCTCGCCGACATGACCCGTTCGGCTTCATCCCCAGACGCTGCGGGTGTTCAGGAGAGGAAGACGCAGCTCCTGCTGCCAAACATGATTGTGACCGTTGAACCTGGAATGTAAGTGTCTTGCGCCCTGGTCTCGAGTCATATGATTTGCTAACTTTACGCGATTTCAGCTATTTCTGCCGCGAATACTTAGAGGGTTACTTCCGCAGTGACCCTGCTCACGCCGACTTTATTGACTGGGATCTGCTCGAGGAATACTACGATGTTGGTGGTGTGCGTATCGAGGATTGCATCCTTGTCACTGAGGATGGATATGAGAACTTGACAGTTGCGCCCAAGGGTGACGAACTACTCGACGTTATTAATAAAGGGGAGAAATAGATGGAATGCGCCATACAATTGACAAGGCTCCAGGACATCAAAACGTGTGTGTTCACAAGTCAGAACTCCTCGTCAATACGAGCAATTCGTTGTTCTAATCTTCATTTTGATTTTTTTTGCCGTCATCATATTTGCATATGCATATACTTTAATCTGCATTGACTCGCCCACCCCCTCTTCTGGAAATGTCCAAAATACACTTTGTTGTCCATAAATCACTCAACATCTTCTCGAGTATACATAATGTAACTCGCCAATGCCCCGCCGCAAAGGCTTTTGTTTGCTGTCTTTGGCACGGAGTGTCAACAGTCCATGGTGCTCCTTACAAATACTTCTTGGGGCTATTCGCTCTACGGCGCTTATAAACCACGTACCCGGCCACAAGAATAATTTGCGTACTCACAAAGAACAACATCAATTTTCCATGGCCGGGAATGCTGTCGCTTAAAGCCGCAGAGAGAGATCGGTGGTGGTTGCGCAGGTTGGCTTCAAAGGATTCGCCGTGAGCCTCAAGCTTCTGCCTCATATCGTGGTGCATGCTGTGGATTTCGGACTCTAATTCTCTGATCTTGGATTGCAGATCACCGATTTGTCGAAGAGCTGCAAGTTCGTGACGAAGAGAGTCAAATGCCTTTTTCATTTCCTCGTGCCGCGCCTCGTCCATTTGGTGGTGCTTAGATACGGCGTTGTACACTCCGCTTATCTGGTGAGTAGCAGCTTGGAGACGGTTGTGCAGGTCTGCGAACTGCTCCTTGGAGGTCTGGAAGACGTCGGCAGATTGGTCTGGGATAGCGTTGCCAAAGTCATCGTTCTTGTTCTCCTGTGCTTTCTGTCCTTGGTTGTTGTCAGGTTGATGCTGTCGAGAATTGTACTGGAACTGATCGTTTTCTCCGGAAACACTCGAATCAGACATGACAACGAGCTTGAAGACTTCGAAAGAGTCAGGTGTTTCGGGTGTAGCTGCGGTGATACCAAAGTAGTACCCAGGAGGCAGTGAAACCTTGTCCGTCTCGAAGCAGTTGCGGCCATCAATTTCGACTTTGAAACTAGAAGCCGTCTGGCGGAGCTTAATTTGTGATGGTCGACCAAGATTTCGGTAGAAATAGTTGCACTGTCCGAATGCAAGCTTGTCCACATTGGGCTGTGACACGTAGTCGACGGTACCGTCGTTCAAGAAACCACGGATCATGCCACCAGAACCACCATGTGAGTCGATAACCAGTGCCAGACCGTCGAACTTACCCGCCGTATAGACGCTATTAGTACCAACTTCTTCCTTGCCTCGCCGCGCAAACCAAATATTCAGGTTACCACCTGCTCGGTCCGGTCCGCTTGCACGGAAATCTACGTCAGCCACCCAAGTTGAGCGCGTGAGAGGTGAATCTGACCAAATCGACGAGCGCTGGTTGCCCGGATCTATCGGCGTGAGGACAATCTTGTTGGAAAGGAGCTGCGGCTGCTCAGGCTGACCCGTGATTGTGAAGTGTGGGATCTTTCCGTCGTCGGTACCCAGGCTACGGAAAAAGTCCTTGTTAGTCGGTGCTGGCCATTCGCCTTCTTAACGTATGCTCGGAATCAACTTACCGTCCGGAATGGCCAAAGCTGAGCTCGCTGATCAAGATCTGTGCCTGCGAGGGGCCAGCAGCGAACAGAGTAGCGAGAGCTACAAAATTATTGGGAAATCGCATGGCGACGAGGTTGGGACGATGATGCCGCCCAAAAATACAATGTATGTATTATGCAATTAAGAGCCAGTGACTGGAGTCGCAAAATTGGATCGTGGATCAAAGTCGTCGGCCAGTCCAGCTGGTTATGCTGTGCCGGACACTTTGTTTGACGACGCACGAATCGCTCGCCCCACGAAGATAACCAGACGGATTGATGTTTGACAGCGTGGTCCTACTGATCATAAAAACAAGAAATGGAATAAACTGCGTATAAGGACAGAAATAAGGTGCTGGTTCACCCAAAACTCCATATATGGTATCTTGACCAGCGACAAAAGGTGCAAGGCGTGGACAAACACAACCAAGTCGACTTGCAACCACCAGGTATCATTGATGTGGACAGATGGCGTTGATCCGTGTCTACTTCAGGAACCTGCAGGTGAGCTTCCCCAAAGTCGCAGGTTCAGGGGGCTGCGAGAGCTGATTGGTGCTGAGACCTCCTCTTACAGCGTCAAGAGGCAGGCACGGCTGTCCAATGGTTGAGGAGAGTCCAAGTACGTACCCGGGATAGTGGGGCTGCTGATTAGTTAGGTTCTGAGCTGTACCTGTGGCCTCACGACTTCGCTTCTTTGCTGATCGCGATGTGAAAAGCAGCCATCTCGACATTTCTGGTCGCATCGCCATCGCCCACTCGCTAGCCCGTGCAGGACGAACTGATGGTAAAGAAGCTTACTCTACTAGCCAATAACTTCCTTGGTTCCTTGCCATGAGGGTGTCTTCAGGAGCGCTATTAGCAGTCCTTTGTCTCTGAGCATCATCTACGCCATGACGGAATCATATCCCAGTTTAACGCAGTGTGCGGTTGTGGCCGCTGCGTTCAAAGTCCTGCTTTTTCCTGCCTAGTATGTTTTAATCTCCACCGCCTCCATGCTATCGTTTTCATAGCAGGCTTTATAGCACGGAAGACGCCTACAATTATCACAGTCAGATTACGTCCAACATTTTTGCCTAACACGCCCACAGCAAATCCACAGATTTCGAGGTACATCGCAATTGGCTTGCCATTACCAATAGTCTTTCTATATCCGAATGGTATTATGAGAAGACGTCAGAATGGACTCTCGACTATCCTCCCTTCTTCGCTTACTTCGAGTGGGTTCTCGCGCATTTGGCTCGACTGGTCGAACCCGCGATGGTGAGGGTCTACAACTTGGATCACGAAAGCTGGCAAACTGTATACTTCCAACGCGCAACCGTCGTTGGTACCGAGCTACTGCTCGTTTACGCGCTTCAGCTTTTTATTGACTCGACACCTCTACCATCGAAGCGAGCTGCCCAGGCTGCTGCATTGTCTGTCATGCTCTCCCCTGGCCTGCTGCTCATAGACCACATTCACTTCCAATACAACGGTTTCATGTACGGCATTCTTCTGTGGTCGTTGGTTCTCGCTAGGTGCAAGTCTACACTTTTGCAGAGCGGACTTGTTTTTGCCGCACTTTTGTGCTTCAAGCATATTTACCTCTACCTGGCCCCTGCATACTTTGTGTTCCTCCTGCGAACATACTGCCTTTCGACCAAGTCATACTTCCAGATCAAATTCCTAAATTGCGTCAAGCTTGGATTGGGAATCATGTCCATCTTCACCGCGGCATTCGGCCCGTTTGCTGTTATGGGACAGATTCCACAACTACTGAGCAGGCTTTTCCCCTTTTCCCGCGGACTCTGCCACGCTTACTGGGCTCCTAATGTGTGGGCACTCTACTCCTTGGCGGACCGCGTTTTAATTCTTCGTAAGTGGACTATGTGGACGAGACACAGTCATTACTTATTTATATTTCGATCCTTTGCTGATATTTGTATTAGTGGCCCCAAGATTGGGCCTTGCCGTAAAATCAGAGGCTTTGCAGAGCGTCACGAGAGGGCTAGTTGGCGATACCGCCTTCGCCGTTTTGCCCGAGATCTCACCTAGAGTGTGCTTTGTTTTAACACTGCTCTTCCAAGGTCTTCCCCTCCTCAAGCTCTTTTTCGCCTCTCATCCGTCATGGGAGGCATTTGTCGGTGCTGTCACTCTTTGCGGGTATGCATCGTTTCTCTTTGGGTGGCACGTTCACGAAAAGGCCATTTTGCTGGTCATCATTCCCTTTAGTCTCATCGCGCTCCGGGACAGAAGACACCTCGGCGCCTTTCGTCCATTGGCGGTTGCCGGTCATGTTTCGCTATTTCCATTACTATTTACTCCGGCGGAATTTCCTGTTAAGACCATATACACCGTCTTCTGGCTAGTTCTATTCTTGATGTCGTTTGACCGGCTGGCACCAGCATCAAGTAAGCCCAGGGTGTTTCTGCTGGATCGTTTCAGCACGTTGTACATTGCGGTGAGCATTCCATTAATCGCATATACATCTTTGTTGCACCATGTTATTTTTGGAAAGAGCTATGAGTTTCTACCACTCATGTTCACCAGCTCCTATGCCGCGATAGGGGTCGTCGGTAGTTGGGTCGGATACATGGTGGTATACTTCACCTCGTGAGAAATAAAGAACAGGAGCTAGATATCAGTTAGCCTGAATGTTTGGAGATACCCTTAGCCGCGAAATTCAGTTCAAGACCGTGATATACAAGTCGAAGTTTACAACATGATGTCTCTCTGTCCCAAAACTGAAGCTGAGTAAGCCGTCGACTTCCAGGAATCGGCTAGAGGCAATTCGAGTGGGGCGGCAGGTCGACTACTCCACGTGCGACTCGAGGCTTTGGCGTGTCACTGACATGGAGCGAACGTCAGTAGAGCCCCAGAGCATCGGACTTGTATCCTGGGCGTCATGGGAAGTAGAAGTCACCGGAAAACAAAGATCAAGACATCCCAACAAGAGTGTGCACAACGCGTCAATCACCCTTATTCATGTGTTCTTGTCGAACACAATTGACTCGGATGAGTTTAAGAGTCGGCCATGTGCAGATCCGCGAGCTCCGGCGTTGACGCAAAAGTGCCGGCTTCGACCCGGAGGACCTGAAAGGACGGAAACAATCAAAATATGATGGAGTGGAGGGGCAGAATGAGAAAGAAGATTGATGAGAGTGAGATTGGCTCCCCACACGGAGTGATTTGGCGCTGTGCGCTCTGATGCAAGCACAAAATGCGGCAAGAAGATGTAATTTCGACCAGAGTCAGGTAAGTCCAGATGTCCTTCATGCAAAGCTTCATTGACACGATGTGCTATAACGGCAGGCAATATTACGAGACAAGAGTGAGAATGCATGTTTCATAGGCCCAATCGATTCGTACGCCAACGACGAACAAAACGAGCCCAAAAACGTGGGTGAAATGTCAAAATGCACAGCCTTGGTTGCAGAATAAGATGGTTTGGGCAGACGAGTGGTTTTGTGGAGGACATGGTTAAGGCGGTCGGTCGTGGGGAGGCGAAGGCGGAAGCAGACGGGCGGCCGTGCGCCGGGGGGTGTGTGGCTGTCTGGTGTGTCTGGTGTGGGCTTTGTGTCATTTGAGTGGGCAAGGGCAAGTCAGGGCCGTGTGGTGCTCCAACTGTGGCGGGTGCCAGCTGCCCATTTGGCCTGGTGAACATGGCGAACATTGGTGCTTTTAATTTTCCCTCTTTTTTTTTCCCTCTCCCTTTTTTTGGGCCTCGTGTAACTTCATTTAATCGTGGTTCTCAAGCGCTCCGTACTTTGGTGCGTGTAACGAGCCAGTGGGCCCTCGGAGCAGATGCTCGAGTGTCAACGACGCACTCTGGCAAGGGAAAAAGAGAGGAGACAGCGCAGCTACTACCTAGGTAGTTAAAGGCTTCCAAGGTTGGTTTGATAGTACGCCGTAAGGCTGTCTCTTTTGCCCAGGCTCAGCCGTAAACTGGCCGCCCAACGTCACAAAGTCTTTCTTGACAACGCGACAAGTACCCAGGTACCTGGGTACCCCGTACTCACGCACCTAATACCGAAGTCCCAGAAATCCGGCTAGTCCACTTGGTGTTCTAGAGTCAACGCTCGGGGACTGAAGCTCACTTCCAAGAACATTGTTCCACCGACGGCAAGCTCGGCCCAGGACATCCCTGGTATTGCGGGTAGTCTCGCGTTTGGCCTCAGCGACTCTCTCACAAACAACATCAACCTCAGTGCAAACAGTCTGGGCTCAATGCTCCCCCCCATCGACTTTGGGACCGCGGCACTGAACGTCGGAACCGGTCTAGGAAAGGGAGCCGCAGTGGGACTGAAGCTGACGCAAAATAATGACACGGGCTTTTTTACGCCGTCGCCAGCGTCCGCAGCGGACATCCCCAAGATTGCTGGTTCGCTTGCCTTCGGCTTGAGCAGAAGCCTGTCTGAATCGGTCAACACAAGCAACGTGGGGCTTGGAAACGCCCTCCCTGCCAACTTCGACCTTGGAAGTGCCGTCCTCGGTGCCGGCCGCGGTCTAGGTAGTGGTACGTCTTTGGGGCTTGGCTTGGCGAGCAACAAGAACTTCACGCCTCCCATGGCCAAGTCTCAGTCTGATATTCCCGGCCTTGCAGAGACATTTACCTTTGGACTTGGCAACTCCTTCACAGAAAAGATCAATGTTACCTCACAAATGAGCAACCTTGGTTCCATGCTCCCTCCAATCGACTTTGGCGCAACTGCGCTCAACACTGGCGCTGGATTGGGCCTTGGTGCCGCCAAGGGACTTCAACTTACAAGCAAGGCTCTAGCCCCGGCCAGTCCAGCAAACATCAACGACATACCGAATATTGCAGGGAACTTTGCCTTTGGTCTCAGTGACGCAGTAGCTGGCAATCTCAACACGACAGATCTGCTCTCCAGATTCAGTGGTGGTAGTGGCATGAATGCTCTGTTCAGCGGAGGCGTGGACGGACTTGTATCCAAGTTCGGTGCTCCCGCGGCATCAGGCCTAGGCAAGGGGCTTGGGAAAGGTGCAGCCATCGGGCTTGGTCTTCAGCCTGACGGCGGCCCAGAGCCATTGGTACCAGCACCCGCCGGTGATGTTGACATTGCTGGCATCACGCAAAACTTCGCCGAGGGACTTTCATCGAGGTTCCTTGCGAACGGAACCGTTACCAAAGTCCTTGGTGGCTTGAGCAACGGTACAGGCGGCCTGGGAAGTCTGACTTCTAGCATTGATATCCCGGGCGCGGCCAGGGGCTTTACGAGAGGCCTGATCACCGGTGCCGGAGATGGGGTGCAGGCTATCGGCGGGATCAACGCCATCCTCAATGGGACCTCCAAGCCACCGACCGCGGCGATTCCCGACAGCAAAGTTGATCTCAATGACTCCACTGGGGGTGCGGCCGTGGGCTTCGGCCAGGGCTTGGGGAGCTCTGGCGTCGTCACACTGCAGAGGTTGCTTGCTCAAGGCATCAACCTGGGCGCAATACTACCAGGAAGCCCCAAAGCAAAGAGGGACGTCGAGCAGCCAACCAAGGCGCTGGCGCTGGCAAGCCGAGATGAGAGTGCTGCTTCCGGCCTCAACTTGTCCAGCCTTCTTTCTACGGATTCCGTCTCTGCCGTCGCACAAAAAGGCGTCGACGCCCTGACCTGCGATGGCTTCGCGGGTGTATTGCTTGTATCCCGTGGCCTACAGAACAGCGGCGCCGTCTCTTTTGGTGGTGGAGGTTTGAGCGAGAATGTACAAAACGCTCTGAGGGGACTTATCCCCAAAGGCATGATTCGTGTCACGTCGCAAGGAAACACGTTTGATGTCGATGGGAAGCGACTGGCTGACGTTTTAATATCCGGCGGGAACGCGATAAAAGCATTATCCGTCAACGGATTCCCCATCAACATATACACCGCGCTCGTGGCCTTGCATGGTAAGCTCATCACGACCCTCAAACCACGTGTAGTCGAGCACAGAACGGACTAACATATGCCTAGTTGGGGCTGCTGTCGTGGGGTTGTTTTTCCTCATGCCATTCGTCATGAGTCTTACCAGCCTTCGAAACATCCTCACGCGCTTACGCGTGCCCGACGTGCTGCCAAAATGGACACCCACGGTCTGCAGGCTGACCGTCATCTTTGGCGTGATTCCATCTCTAGTCCTCCTTCCCGTCTTTGGTGTCCTTGCCGCTTCAGGTACTCGGCACTTTCGCACCGCACACGGGGTAAGTTTGAATCCTCCACTTTTGAAACATCCACGACGCTGACAACTTGGCAAGGTCCTTGGCCTCATCACTTTCATCGTTGCTATAGCTGCTGTTGTGCTGTACTTCTACTCCAAACCAGCTGTGCTCACTCCCGGAGACCCTATCCCAGGCAATAGTCAAATGACCCGGCTGTCATTAGCTTCCAACCTTGTGTACCAGCTACTGTCAGTGCTCTTATTCTTTACTGCCGTCACGGGATACGCGGACTTGAGCAGTGTGACATTGTGCTTGACAAGGGCTGTGGTGAATTTTGAGATGGCGGCTTTGACCGGAATGGCACTGGTGCCGTCTTTTGTGGTTGGCCAGTTTATAACCGGCTCGGAGCTACTGCTGGTATACCGAGCCCGCAGGAGGGCAAGGAATGCAAGCAAGGCCGCGGTACGAGAAAAGACATAGAGGACTAAATCACAAGGACACAGTAGAGCTGTTCCGGTGTTTGTGGAGAGGGTACGTTGTAAAAGAATCAAGCACGAAATGTTGAAAAATAGCTGCCGACTTGTATGTATTATTACTGAATATCTGTGCTCATTTGTTATCAGTTGACACCGTTTAGCGGCAGCCGGCAACTTAAATAATATTTAAAATCTTCACGGCCAACGTTTTTGACTCTTTATTTGTCAGTGCTAGTGTGGGGATATGGTGGCAGATCTCGTGTCTGCTTTGCGGCGTCGCCATTCTGCATAGACGAGGGCGTTTACTGAAGTCAAAGTATCGCTGCAGCCAGAATAGGGTTGACCAATATAGAGCTAGTAAATTGCCAAAGTTGAACTTCATACACCTCTCACTCGTGGTTTTTGATGGACGTGAGTCCTAATACACATCAAGTTCCAGATTACATCAAGTTCCAGATTAGGGGGTAGGTTAAAGTCGACAAATGATATGTTACCGGGTTACTAGTTGTTTTTCCATCACCTAACTGAATGGCAACAATCATTGACATGGAGCTTCTACCTGAGCAATCTGACCCAAACTGCCGTCCCACACACCCTATAAATACAGCAATGAATGTACAAGCTATTATGACATTGATCAAGACTTCTTCTATAGCTTCGGCTTGAGAATCTCACCTCTTTCGTCCCTGTACGTAGCAAGTTTGTTCCTCTTACTGTCTCCGCCGTGGCTGACTTGAGAGGGGGCATCGAAAGCTCCAGCACCAGTCTTTTGCTTTCTTCCCTCCATTACGACATAGTCTCTCTGTCCCTCGCCGAGATACAGCTGCCTTGGGCGCCAGATCTTGACGCCCGAAGGGTTCAGCATCTGCTGGCGCCAGTGGGCCAGCCAGCCAACACACCGGGGGACCGCAAACAAGACGGGGTAAAAGCTACAAGTGATCGGTTAGCAAAACGCACGTATAAATGTGTATGCTAAACTTGATAAAATTCTAAATCCAAGGAAAGAAAGAATAAACTTATAAAGTGTATGCAAATGAATCACAGCGCAGGGGGTGTATAAATAGATGCGTTGGCAGTTGCAGTCATCTGGAGCAAAGAAAAAAAACAGAAGAAGAAAAGGCTAAAATGATACGTACTCTAGCGGGAATCCCATGGCTTGATATATGAGGCCGGAGTAAAAGTCCACGTTAGGATACAGGTTTCGGCTGCGCATGAACTCACTCTCTCCGGCAAGCTTGGCAAGAGCGAGCGCGGTGTCGAGGAGCTTGTTGCGGCCGGTCACCTCGAAGACCTCCTCTGCAAGTTCCCGAATTGCCTTTGACCGCGGGTCGACGTTCCTGTAAACGCGGTGACCAAAGCCGACGAGAACGCGCTCTCGCTTCTCAACCTTGGCCATGAAAGCAGGGACATTCTCGGGAGAACCAATCTCCATCAGCATGCGTATGGCGCTCTCAGACGCGCCGCCGTGAGATGGGCCGTAGAGCGCAGCACACCCGGCAGCCACGGCGCTGTACGGATCTACCAACGAACTCCCGACCTGGAGGACAGTTGCCGTGGAGCAGTTGACTTCGTGGTCGGCATGGATGATGAACAAGGCGTCGAGGGCCTTCTCGAGGACCGGGTGCGGGCGGTACTCGTGTCCAGACAAATTGTCGAGCAGGTAGAGAAAGTTGCCGGTGTAGGACAGGCCCTGGGCGGGCCGGTTGAACGGTCGGCCCCGTCGCATACGGTAGGATGCAGCAGCAAGCGTTGGCGCCTTGCCGATGATGCGAAGAATCTGCTTGTCGAGAACCTGAAGCGCGGCGGGATTTCCCGTGGCGGCGTCCGTGTACAGTTTCTGGCCTTGCAGAGACGGGTTCGCCTCGGGGGCAAAGGCGCCTAGCGTGGCGAAGGCAGATGCCATCATGGACATGGGGTGGGAATCATAGCGGAAGGACTTGAACATGCCCTCAATGTCGCTGTGGATATAGGTGTGGTGCATAATCTCATCTTGCCAGCTCTGGTACTGAGAGCCGGTCGGCAGCTCGCCATAGATGAGCAGGAATGCGGATTCGAGGAAGTTGCTCTTGTTGACGAGTTGCTCGATAGGGTATCCTCGGTACCGGAGGATGCCATCCTGGCCATTAATGTAGGTGATTTTGCTTTGGACAACAGCCGTGTTCATGTAAGCCGGGTCGTAGACTCTGAGGCCCTGGCTGGTCTCATCCTCGGCACGGTCGTTCTGCGACTGTGCCTTGATCTTCTTGATGTCGGTGGCCAAGACTGAGTTGTGCTTGATGGGGAGCTCATAGCTTTTCCCGGTGCGGTTATCAACAACCGTGAGCGATTGACGGGGGATGGTCTTGACCGTCATGTTGGCCTGAAGCGAAGAGCCTGGTGAATATCGCGTGGGAAGACACAGTAATGACAGAGACGCGGGGGAGGACAAGTCTGGTGCTTTAGCCGAACGATGACACTGCAATTGAAAACAGATGGATGTGTTGGGCGTTGCGCTTTTGAGTCCTCGCAGCTCCCAGAGTCGTGACGAGGCTTGGCATATGAGACGGCTCAATTCGGGTTGAGGTTCATGGGGACCGAGGCATCAAATCCACCTGTCAAAATAATTGGGTCGCACCTCGACTTCAACAGCACGTGCATCCCGACACGCTCACGCTCGCAACACCTCGTGACCAATCAGACCGCATCCAAGATGCGTACATCGCCCTTGCCCCTTTGTCACGGTGCTTGCTGATGTCACCGATTCCAGCCGAGAGTATCCAACTGGGCCATTAACTAATGCTTGCTACTCGATGGCGCTCATGGCAAAACACTATTGACCTCGAGTCAATTGGCCCAACAATATTCCAACTAGTTTCGTGACTCCTTCAACGCCATATATTTAGCATGGCCGCCTGGCATTGTATCAAACTTGCCATCCTGCTGGCAAGATCTCATCCCAAAACCGCCGGCACCTCTTCCTGGAGATAATAGTCCCTCATTTCCCGTTTGAACCAGAGCGTTGCGACCAAAGCCAAACCGTGGAAAACAGTCGTCAAGGATAGTGCCATGTAAACCGGGGTCCTCGGCGAGCAAAGCAACTGGCAGACCATCAAGAGTACAGGAGAAACAACGATCCACATGATACACACAGCAGCACAGGCCTTTCGCTCTGCGCCAACGTTACATGGCGACGGCACGGCCCCGATATCCTTGAGCAGGCCCGCCGATTCCGGGACTACGCGCAGCCAAACGAGCGTCTGCCCTCGTCTGGTTGGCCCTTCGAGTGTCAACGGATACAAGGCATCGATGAAGCTGAATGGCCGCGGGATGACCAATGGCTCAGAGCTTGGTATCAGAATGTGAAACCGGATTTTCTTGCCCGCATCGCCCATTTCTTGAACCAGTGCCACCCTGACGCAGAGCATCCATCTGCAAAGCACAATGAGGTCATGCGCAACACCTATAAACTCGTGCGGGAGCTGTCCCTCAGCCCTCTCCAACCTCATGAACGCGCCCATCCAAGCATTGTCGGGATGGAAAACGAAGAAACAATGGTCGCTTCCGTCGTTTCGGTATTCGCTGATTTTCAAGGTGACAAAGTCCCAAACGACCCGGGCGAACCCCAGAGAACTACAGTCCGTCATGACTATGAAGGGGTCGTTCATGCCGGCGACCATGCTGGCCATGTCTGGTAGATGAAGCGGAATTTGATGGCCGTGGTACGTTTCGTAAGCCTCGGTGGTTATGGTTCCCATGGCCATCAAGGCTTTGGTCCGCGATTTAATCGCCGAAGGCCTTGTCGGCGTCCAAATCGGTGCCGAGTCATGTTGGATGACCCTTTTGTACGTCGGCTTTGCTGAAATGCTAGATGCCCCGCGCGAGAAGAGCCATTGAAATAGCGAGGAAACGTCCTGAATCACGGAGAATATTCCTTCTCGCCACTCTGGATAGTTGCCCACGAGGTAGAATGCAATACCTGCTGAATACACACATTGCCACATCGTCGGAAGTTGCCAACCATCGTGGACAGAGAGGGTAAAAGTCATTCCACAAGCGACCGAGTAGAGACATTGAATAGTTAAACGTAACTACCTACACCAGATGCCGAGTGTTGATCTCCATCTCTAATCGTGCGTGTTGATGCCCAATGACCCCCCCCTGCTGCAGCCCGTGTGAGACAAAAGCTTTGGTTCCTGAGGGCATGCGGTGTGACTTGGGAAAGGCATTAAATAGTCGCAACTACGCGGTATGATATCCAAACCCCACTACTACTATTTTTTTTTCGCAGAAAATTGGCAACATGTCAGATTTAGCCTCGGCTTCCATGCGGATACTCTTCTTTACGACCCACGTTCGATCAGCCCAAGATGGATTGTATACGGAGTAACGATACTGACATCTGACATGCCGTCCCATGTCTCAAATTTTGTGGCTATGCTCAAACTGTGTAATCACGAAGCATCCTGATTTTGCAGGCAACTGCTGACCCGTCATTCAACCACGTGTTGCACAGTAACAGCATTAAAATACAATCTAGTAGTGATTTGGTAATATCCAATGGGCAAGGATCTGGGCGACGCAGCCTGCATTTTTATACCGTCAGTGGTAATCGTGTTGCTACGTAACGCCGGCACATGGTGCGACGACATTTTTTTAGCCATCAAGGCTAGGCTGGCATACTACGGCGTATTATCTACTGTAACATGCGCATGCGCTGTTGCGCACAATGCCCCTCGTCTCCCCTCATATATCTACTCACTATTCGCTCTTTATCTTGACATATGCAAAGAAATGTTTTCAACTCTATGTACTTGAAACCTAATCGGCAGGCGGCTGATAAGAAACACACACCAGGGCGCAATAAAGGGCGATTCTAGTATCGTTACCATGATAATTCCGTCTCAACAACCAACTCATGTTCCTATACGAATTCACGGTCAATAGGGCATTGTCAACGTGTTATGAAGGTAACCGTTAGACGGAGCAAGACGATGATTCGTGCCGTTCATCTGTGTACAGCGATGACGGAACGGGATATTGAGTACTGTATTTCAGGCAGTCACCGGTAATCACCAGTTTCCACTCTAATGAACATATCCATGACGGATATACTTGGAGACCATTTGTGCTGGCTCGAGCGTAAACAATCTGCGTCCTCATTCGTGACGCCTCTAGTTCCGCCATGACTGCATCATGGACCGATATTCCCATTACAAGATACTTTGCCCCTGACCAGCGGCCGTCTCCATACAGGCCCTAGCGATGGAGCCTTCTCCTCCTTTGACCAAGCTCACGCCCTGCCGCCTCATTTATTCTGCTCGAGGATTTCCTTGAGCTGCCTTTCCTCCACCTGCAGGTCGTGTATCTTTTCCCACATGCGTCCTATAGCCTGCTCCTTTTCCACGACGCGTCGTTGGTAGTAATCGCCCGCCTGGTCAATGGTTAGGCCTGTCTTTTTTCTTCTAGCTCCCTGGGAGCCTGTGACAAGGGCTCAAGGAGGGCTTGGAGCTAATAGCTCAATTCATCTAATAACAGTCTTTGGTATCAAAGGTCCTTGATTTTCCTCAAGGCCTTGAGGGACCAAAGGTGTCTATAAATACAAGAAGTCGGTGAGGGACTTTGCCCTAGGTCTCGTGACCGTAGCCCTTGTGTAACCAGCCATTTCCGTGTAACAGAGCCCGAGGCGCTTTCAGACATTTGCTGTCGCGCCTCTTTGGATATAGTACTGAGAAATGCCAGAATATTGATCAATTCCCTTTGTTCTTCTTCCACGGCAGCCATCGTCTCGCTGATGCGCTTCCTCACCACCGATAGCTGGTCGTTATCCTTGCTCATGATGGTGGTGTTGGGGTAGCTGGTCTGTCTTTAGAGTAGTATAATAGCAAAAGGTAGGCGAGTGGGATGAATAAAGTCAGAACGGCCATCTTGTCTTATCCGTCTATATAGGTCCCGCACAGCAGGCAGCAGCGGCCCATTGATGTGACCGTATGTTGGTCGGCCACCACTTGGGTGTTGCTTGCGGTTGCAAGACGAGGTTGTGTTTGTATTTGATCGGTAAAAGCAAGACCACTTCAGCATGCGTCAGCCATTTCGCAAATTTGTGTCACGAGGGTGCATTTTATCCAGTACCTCCCCGCATCCCGCTACATCAAGCAAGAGCAGTTGGAAGTTTACATATCTGACAGCAAAGTATTCTCAGCTCCGTCTTTCTCCTTGATGTTTGTGATGCTCTTTGATTCAACAAGGTCTACCTAGAGAACTCTCCGTGGCATGCTGAAAGTGAATTCGGGGTCGTGCTAGTTCGACTCCATAGATCAAGTGGCCAATGATGGCTCGACTTCCTTGATATTTTGGTATTGCTGTGCCTTCTCACCTTCCAACTTTTTCTTCAAATCCTTCGCTTCTAGTTCTGCCATGAAAGCATTGGACTCTGCCAGCCATTTTTCTTGCCAACTTTGCACATACAGGTCGTTGTCCTTTAAGTATTGGGTGTATAACCTATTCTGCTCCTCCCGACGTTGTACCTCGCGGGCACAAGCTTTATTTTCTTTAAAGAATTCAGAAGTTATATCCTCTATAGGCCTGTTATAGAGTTTAGGAGCGAAGTAATCGCAGAATGTATAGATTGTGTCATCAGGGCGGCGTATGAGATGGGCAATGCAGAATGCCAAGTCCGGATGATCGATGCCCGTTGCATCTAGCTGAGGGTGATGATACCATTCTCTCCGCAGCTGGTCATATCGGCTGTCTATATTGCTCTTCTCGTCTAAGACTTGGCGGAACTCGATGTGCATTTCCTTCTTTGTCTTGATCGAATCGTGCGCGGTGATCCATGACGGTGGCGTGAATAACTGCCGCGGAACTGTGCTTGAAAATTCCCAGTCAATAATACCCTGAATATGCAAGTTCTTATCCACAATAATGTTGGGGCACCGCAAGTCCAAATGATTCAGTATAAACGGTCCACGGTCCAGATCAGGATCGATTGCTTGGTATAAGATATCCTCCAAGTGGTAGAGTACAAACACCTCATTTTGGACATCGCTAACAGACATGTCAGGAACCGGAGATCGGAATTGTTCCTCTATAATGAGGAACTGGCGTGCCAAGTAGTCCCTCATCGAGCTAAATGTGGGTAGATGTTGGCGAAACCTGTTGGCAGTCATGGACAGAACAGGCCCTACAATGGGCTCCGGACTGCCATCGGGATTTGGCATCAACGAGCCAATTAAAGGAAACTCGAGCGACCTCAAGTCGGCCAAAATATCAATAAGCTGCGAGTAAAAGTCTCTTCGGTGCTCCTCGGGCGCCTCAAGCAAGTCCTTCTTGTTGAGCGCTTCTCCTGGAACGAAGTCTTGGATAAGAAACAGTTGCTTCTGACTGCTGGTTTTGGTTAACACAGCATCGCGTCCATAGGCAAGAATATGCGGAACAGGAATACGCGTTTTTTCTTGGAGAAACCTACGCCTAGGTTAACAATGACAGTAATCATAATAATTCACGTTAGGAATATACTATATCGCACTGTAAAGTAGCGACCTCACTAAGCAGCTTTTGCCAAGGCTTATGAAGCGAGGGTATGATGGGAGCCCGTACAATCCACTTGGGGCCATTGTTGTCAAACTCGACAAAAAAGCAGACATTGAAGCTACCGTTTGACCGATGTACAACCCGGCAAGGCTGCTCGTGGTTATGCCGCGACGCTAGGGCGCAAACGGCTTCCGAGTCTATTGACTCAATAAAGGCATTAATCACTTCATCGTCTTGCTCCGGGGTAGTTTTGGGAAATCCTCGATGGTCGAGCAGGAAGGTTGTGGCCACAGGGCCAGTGGCCTCTGGTTCTACCTCATTGGCGTCTTGAGCACCAACTGTTGGGGCATCATCTGGTTTAGGGGCGTGGCTGCCTGAAATACCAGCGCCAGAGAAGCCCAGCAGTCGTGCCCATGCCCCGGACAGATATACGACCAACAAGGTCCATTTCGCGCCTATCGAGCGGATGACTGCGAGCAACATAATTGCCCCGTTGTTAGAGGCGACATTGTCAAGATGACAGGGTTGGAAAGTGCATGGTTCGCGACGTCTTCCAACAGCTCGGCCAATAGTAATTCCGAGTGGTTCCCCTGACCCCTTTAAAGCATTACTGCCTGGGTGCCTGACACAGGCCCCAACACTGAGAAGAAGATGAAAAGTCACTTATCTTTACAAGCTTCTATGAGAAGGTATAAGATCTCCTTCTTTTATTATATATAAAGCACAATCATGGAAATGGGTCACGTCGTAATTCAACTTATTTGCAACGCTTATTGCGAATGGCATTTCACCATGTACGTTATGTTAGTTTCACGCATTTAGGTACTCATGTTCATTGTTCGGTCAAAAGGATGCAGGTGACATCATGAGAAATCAAAACCAGCAAACAAGATATATAACAGTAGCTCTGAAAGGCAGCCCGCGGGCTTTTACTCCGTCACGACGTTTCACGCCATCTTAGCCGGACTTATTAGCCAACTTATAACATTCACGTCTACTCCCAAGTCTCCAACCCTGTCACACACTTCAGACACTTTAGGGCGAGGTCCTAACCCTCCCAAGGTCGCAATCATGCTCAAGGAGCTTGGGATTCCCTACAAAGCCGTTGCCGTGCTCCTAGCCGATGTCAAGAAGCCCGAATACTCAGCGGTTAACCCCAACGGATGTCCGCCAGCCATCTACGACCCAAACACCGACCTAACCCTGTAAGATTCTGGGGCCATGGTCGAGTACCTAGTTGAAAAGTAAGATACGAGCCACAAAATCAGCTTCCAGCCAGCAGTCCCGAGTCGTACGAAGCCAGGCAGTTCCTCTACTTCCAGGCGTCTGACCAAGGCCCCTACTATGGCCATGCAGCCTGGTTCAAAAAGTTCCACCATGAGAATCTGCCCAGCGCTCTCGACCACTACGTGAAGGAAGTTCACCGCGTCACGGGCGTCTGGGAGAAGGTTCTCTCAGAGAAGAACGTTTTTTCCAGCCAAGATGTGCCGTGGCTCGTGGGAGGAAAGTACTCGGTTGCCGACCTCGCCTCCATCTCCTGTCAAAACGTCATAAGCATCATGTTTGACAAGACCGACTACAACCTCGAGAACTACCCGCATGTCAAGGCTTGGATGGACCGCATCTTTGCGCGACTAGCCTTTTAGGCTGGACTAGGCAAATCCGAGAAGCGGGAGTAGTGACCTGATTGGCTTTAAAGGGAACTCCACTTGGGATTCAAGTCCACCTATTGAGTATAATAACCCTTTGCGGAAAGTTCAAGCAATATTACTTAGGTTTTTTTCCCTATATGGCGAAATAGTGGTTTCTGTAGCACAATTTTGTTATAGGAAATACCGTCACCGTCATGTGTATATCGCAATATAGTCTCCATCGGTAGGAGACCTCCACTTTTAACAGATTCGTTCAACAACTTTCAATTCTAGGGCCAAAGATGCCGTTCCCAGCCGACTTAAAGTATACCATGCAGATCTATCCTCAGGGCTAAACCACTAGTCTCAGCCGTAGTTTCGTTTCATCAATTGATGACTTTAACCAGAGAAGCGGTGCAATTAGACACATAAAGCCACCAGTGAATTAAGCTGGCTTCCCATTAGATGCCTGGTCGCGGATATACTGGAACTTGGTTTCCATGATCGCTGTATCAATCATCTCCTCGATTTTTGTAATCTCCTGCTAATTTTCGTTAAAATTGTGAAACACAGCGTATTCTTTGCTCCAATCTCCAAAGGGTGTCTTGCCCGAGCATGGCGCATATACAACGACCTTGCGCCGAGGCATATCGTGCACAACTTGGTGAACAAGCTATCTGCCGTCAGCCTTTCGACGGCTGATATTCGCACTTCTAGCACAACATGTAAATGCGCAGCGAGAGTGTTTTACTTTGTTTATACTCTGTAACGACTTGTTGGAGCTGCGGAAGAGTCGCCTCTCCTTGGGCGCGAGATCGATCTGGATGTCCCATGGAAAATGGTAGAGCCGCTTGCGTACGGTCGTCTGACCAGTTTGCAATCATATCGGCGGCGGACCACTCCCCCCAGGCTGAGGGGGACCTATCAAGCGTGGCGCGCTGAGCTTCAGGTTCGGTTCCCGTGGTGACACGAGTTGAATTTTGTTTTGTTTCAGTTTCGGTTGTAACTGTCGGATATAGACTATGTGGAGAGATTGGAGATGTAGCAAGGTCGAGGAACCATTGTTCCGACGGGAGATGCCGCCATTCTATTCTACTTTGAACACATGGGTAATGATACCGGGCATGCTCGTACCGCAACAGCGGGATTGGCCATGTCATCCTGGTGGCAATATTCCCGCGAACCCCGGCTCTCAATGCAATACATGTGGTGGAAAACTACACCGCTTCCACCTGGAGCAGATAGTGCTGCTCGCGGTGTATTCCTTGATCGTAGAATTTTCTACATTACCCAAGCTCAGTCCAATTTCCTCAAGCCAAGGTGCTATGCCACACAAAGCGTTCTCGCTGTCCGACATATTCCATGATATGGAACTTTAGTGTCAGAGTCTGATACATGGGTATATATACCTGGTATGTAGTCCGTCTGCCGGGCTGGCAGTGGCGTTTGATTGATCAAAGCCGCGGCATGCGTCGAATGCCCGAGCAGTTGGTTCATGTTACTATTTTTGAAGACAAGGACACAGAGCCTCTATGGGTAAACCGCGCTAGAACATTTGGGACCGTTTTGTTTGTGCATTCCGTCCCTGATTAGATTGCTCATCTAATATATTTGCTTTACACCAATGTGTACTGTATTACGAGCGTCGTTTTATACCCAAGTCAAGCAGGAAAACCGTTTGCAATATTCAAGGTGTAGGGTAAGCTGAGTCAAGACGAAATGAAGCAGTATAAATGCTTCTTGTCTAATGTAGCAAAATTACACGGATGCATGTAAGCAGCCTACCAATTCGAAGTAGGGTTCGTAAGATGAGTTGAGCTGCTGGTTAAAGCAGTCGTTCACTGATGGAGTCCTCAACGAGATTTCAAGCTGAATCCAGCTGTTGTGGTGATGCCGGGGTCAATTGGTCAATAAATGGTTCCGTGTTTCTTTGCTTTTTCCCTCTTTTTTTTTTCCTTTCTTCTTTTTTTTCCTTTTCTTCTTTTTCTTTTTTTTCTTAGGCAATTATTCCCACAAGCTTGAATGGGAGGAGGAACACGGATATAATTAACTTTGGACATCCAGTTGCAACGGGTTATCCAATCTCATCCTTCACACACTTATAATCCCGGCTAGTAGACCCCCGACACCGGCCCCTGATATTCGCTTCTCCAATTCTTAGGTTTCCGAAATGAAAGTTTGTATTGGCGGAAGAAATGCTTGCTATTACTCCTCTTTCTTATGACACCATGTCTGGCAAGGTGCGAAAGACGGAAAAAAAAAAGACGCCTCAATTATGAATTGCCTATCAGGTAGTTATGGAACATACAGAACTCGTTGTATAGTAAGTACCAGACCTCTGCATTTGCAAAAAGACGTGGGAAAACCTAACTCGCTCAGGACAAAACCCACACCGAGGCCACTAACGCGCATCCATCCATGCGGCTAAGCTAGTTTTGATATTGTAATATCGACTTTACCAAGAGCACCACCACTGCTATTCCAAGGCCCAAGAACAACAGCGTAATTGGAGGTGGCGGGGTCGTAGTCTAGAATCCGCATTATATTGTTGGGACTCCCCCAAGGACATTCCCAGTAGACCTTGCAGATCTTAGTATTGCCCTCAAAAAGGTCAATATCGCCTTCAGTTCCCGATGGTGAATGCTCTCGGCCGCATGCGGAGACAAAGCATCTCTTCCCAGGAGGAGCAAAGATTTTATTCACATCCTCTGCAGTAATTTCAGTATCCTTATCGCCGTCCTTATGAAACTTGCCCCTTAATCCAAGTAAGAAAGATATCCAAGCTGTGTAATGGATAGACAACACTCACCAACGGGCCCATGCGTTCTTGACCTGAAGATCACTCTGTCTCATACGGTTGATAAGATCTAGGACTACCCACTGGGCGTATGCTCTTCCTTCCCTGGCCTCCATTGACAGCTTCAGCGTTCTGTATAAAACTTTGCTAAGTAAAAGGTCGCTTTGAGATTTGCGCAGACTGAGAAATCAAGAATCTGCTTAATCAATGCTAAGAAATCTGCTTGATATTGTGTAAAGGGGAGGAGCGAATATATAGTCTTTGGCGACTTCCAATTGACATTATACAATCTTGCAGTCGTCAGAAGGTGTGTTCTCGTGCTCAATTGCGGCGAGTCTGCCAGACACATATCATGTACAGATCTACACATTGGGATTTGTCGGCTACCTACCGATGCCAGCCGAATGTCATTCGGTAGGTTTGTGGAGACTCTTGCAGGTATCCTGGGGGTATATACCTGTTTTACAGGTCGTCATTCATGCAACTTTCGCATCCGTCTCACTGGCCGCATGTAGCTCATGCATATCTGATAAATAAAAGTCATCTCTGTGATTGAATTACGCAAGAGCTTTTGCCATCTGGATGGCAATAGGCAACAGTCGTCGTCGTACTGCTGCCAGGCAAGTAGACGAGTGTGGGTTACGACATGAACACAGGTATGAAGTCAGTCATTTTATGCCGAGTCAGAAGTCTGAGTCCTGTATGTATGCATCGCCTGTTTTCCGTCTTTTCTCGTTGGATTTGCCCAAGGCCCCATCGCATTGCTTGCAACTCTAGCGGTTTGAGGTAGGTATATTGACTCGTACTTTGCCGCCTTCGTCCTGACACGAGTCATTTGATGCGTCAACTTCTCGGGTTGCCTGTCATGCTGGACAGTACCAACAGCAAGACAGAAGCTGACGTCGCCCTAGGTTGGTGTATCATAACATCGTTGTCATTGACTGGCGGCGCCGTGCATTACTTCCCTGGGGCTGATACGAAGTGATATACATGTCTTCCACTGGTATCCACCGTTTAAACCGCTTGTTTACTGAGTAAGAAGGGGCTGGTGACTCGTGAGGGTCTCAGCTCTTGATGCCCAAGCCAAAATTGTAAGACAAATATGAGCAGTCGAGAATGACATGTCAGGAGCTAATCCACAATTATGCAGATAACCCTAATAAGATCTCAATGAGGGGAAGAGGTGCTAAAGGTAAGTCTCGGACATGCTCCGAAACAGTCTGGTGGTCTGGGCTCCAACTTACTGTATCCTAAGGACAGGCTTCCTGCTCTTCGGTATTTTTGGGTGCCCATGGAGGCTCCACGGCGCTCAGCTTTGTAACTACCAAGCCACTCCCGATACTACATATCTTCTATGCATACTCCGTAGTGCGCGGCGAATCATCTATTTCATTAGCTTCGGAGGAGCTCATGGCGGCCCTATTTCTACCCAACCGTCAGGCGTTGTTGGACTTGTATCACCCACCAATTTGTAGGTAAATATAAGTATCATATGTCTATTGCTACTTGATTGGCCTCTGACCCCTGAGATTTATTTCCCATAGGCTCCTCCGCAGCTAAGGGGATAAAGATCTTGGGGTATAGCCACTGTTACTGGCGGCGAGAACGTCGGTAGCATCGTCGAGGCGGTCGATGCAGTAAGCGATAAATATCACATACATGAGACGTTGGAGACGAGAGAGCAATCCCCGCCAAGTAACTTGGGAGCACTTACGTGAAAGGCTTCCCGCCACGGAGGATCTATTGGAGAGCCGGGGGAGGGGGCTAAGCAATGACTTCGTAAGAATGAGCTTTGACAAGCCTCTTTGCGTAGAAAATCTACGGGCCAAGAGACAAGAGAGAAGAGGAAAGGTGATATCTGTCTCAAGTTGCATATTGTAAACTCATCACTCACGAATCCGACATATTATTGCAAGTGACGTTACATTCTCTCGGCATGTATCCAAGGTGCATTCACGGGCAAGGTAGCGTTCAAAATACGAGGGACGGATATGGCAAAGCACAGAATAGTCCCAGCGCATGTTACTTCTTACGTTTTGAAGCCCTAATTAGGCGGACATGTCATGATTTCAGATATAAGCTCTGCCTTTTGACACCAATAGAGGCAAAAGGTCAAGCACTCTGAGTTTATGACTATCCCCCGTAGCGCATTGGCACATGAAAGAAGAAATTTCTAAGATTTAAATCCATTTGTGAGGCGTACTGCAACTGGGTTGCAATACCTCTGGCAGCCCATCTGCCATGTCAGACGGATCCGGTTTACCAAACTACACGCCCCGGTCTCACCTGCTGGAGATGCTGGGCTGCATAATTACTCGGCACCTCTATCACAATATCATGGACACGTCGTCCAGTACGCTCGTCCTTGCAGCATCTTGCATCCTGTCCTGCCTGAGTCGATGTCAGATTCTCAATGATTACAAAATATGATAAGATGGCTGCCTGACCACCCGAATTCATTCAGGTGGTGGGGGGGTAAAGCCAAAAAAGACCTCAACTTTCCACTCAAGACAAGAAGACAGGGCAAGAAGGCATACATCACGGCATTTATCTTACTAATACGAAGTAGTGCCACCCTATTTCTGACTGTTGGCTGACTCGCGCCCACCGTGATATTAGTCGGAACCCCTTTTGCCCGCCTTTTCCAACATGTATTGCTTCGTGCAACCCTTGGGAATCTGCATTTGACCATTCCAGTCAATGGGATACTCACTCCCCTTACACTTTCGTGAGATATAATATTCAGAGAGCCTCCTTTAGACTCCAACTAGCACCCTATTTCCTTAGTAGTTGAAGTCGGCCAAAGACCATACTTGAACGCTTCTGACCATTCATACTCTTTTGTTGCCAATATTTATATCAGCCATCCCAAAGTATTAATCGATCATGGCCAACCGGGACCTGATTCCATACTCTGAGGGGATGACTCAAGGACAGGGGCAAGTAGCAGTAACACATGTGACGCCAATATGGTCTGTTAACATTTGCTGATACCATTCCCAGGTTCAACACCTATCTTCAGAGGGGTCGTATGCACGACGCCGTGACTGTCACCGAAGAGCAGGTGGCGAACCAGGGTGCTGCTATGAACTACGACTACGAGATCATCAGAGACTATCAGTGAGAACACTACGTCACTGAGAGCTTGCAATGCTTCTCTACTAATGGGATTCTGCAGGAAATTGATCCGCTCACTAGAAATCAGTGCTGGGGCGACCATTGAGGCACTTGATCAAGGAGGTGGAGCTGCTGCAAAGTTCCTTGACCGAAACGAGGTATGTCGTCTATAATTCTGGCAAAATGTTAGTCATGATTCTGAACATGTGCTGTGCATAGTTTGAGCAAAGTTTCATGACATACTTGGTCAGGGTCGATGTTCAGAAACAGCCAAGCACAAAGCTGAAATACACGTTCAACTGGGAAGACCCGAAGGATCCCAATGAAACTTACGGCGACCGCTTCATCAGTGGTAATGTCAGCCGCAGCTGATGTCCCTTTGTGGCTCTTTTCTGACAGCATTCAAGACTTCGTAACTGGTGGAGCTCTCTTCGGTCGGGTGTCTATGTTCACCGCCAGCGCAAATGAACATCGAACGATTGAGCAGTCGTGCGTGCCCCCTAAAGCGAACAATGGATCTCAATCTAATACAGCTTGAACAGAGCCGAAGTGGCATTCACTGCGTACGGAGCCAACGTCCAGGTCACGCAGGAGATGAAGAACAGCATGGAGAAGATACATAAACACTCCGAGGTGAAAATACGAATGATTTATGTCGGGGTTTTTCCAGATAGTGTGCTTGAAGCAGATGATCCTTCTTCCGGCCTCCTCCAACTCAAGAATTTCGCCGACGGTTTCTTGAAAAAGGCCGAAGAGCATAAAGAGAACCGATAGCAAGTAGTTCGAACCTCTACCGGAATGATGAGGCTAACACTTTTGTAGTGCGATTCTTGAAAAATACACCAACATCCGCGGGTTCAACCCCGAGACTCACTTTTCCCCTTTCGACTACTCAGATGCGGCGCACAGGGTGAGCCAGCACTCCATGGTAACGTTGCCTGGGAATATTTGAAGCTGAAAAACGACAGAGCTGGTCAGTTGCCATCGACTTCACCGAATACCTTTCCACTCAGACTGCTCTGCGTGCGAGTATGCTCCTCTCCCATCCTACCAACTAAGCGTGTCATCTCCATCTCTAACCAGTGTCGCCGCAGTCGACGAAGAGAACTATATAGACGGCAGAGGAGGCAAGGAAAAATTGGATGATCAAGCAAGCGACGTTGTGGCAGGGTATAAGGACTGGGTATCTCCAAAGCACATCCCCCGCTGCGACATTCGCGGTCTCCTAACGATCATTTCAGGTTGCCAAAGTCAGTGCGAAACCAGAAGACGCGAGGACAAGACCACCATACCCAAGCCCTCATGATTTCCGTTTGAGCGTGTTGGTAAGTAACACCATGACGGTTTGCAGTCGAATCGCAGCGCTGACGTGCAGGGGAAGCATTCACTCAAGAAAGTAAAATATTTCGGACGACGTCTTCGCGTTAAAGACAACATCTACACTCACTGTGAGATTCAAGCCAAGAAACTTCGTCCCTGACCAACTGTTCCTGGCGCTGACTCTAATTCCCAATGACAGTCATTGACGACAAATTGTCCTCGGGTGAAACGCCGCTTTTCAGCTTCGAAGCCTTCAATTTTCGTCAGGTTGTTGGCAGTGCCAATCTCTTGTTCGGGAAGAAGGTCAATAAGCCCGACTATGTATGTGTCATGGGTCGCCTCATGCCTCACGGCTACGAGAAGATGAGCGAGTTGTGGGTTTTCCCGAAGAAAGTAACGGGCATGTTCGACCAGAGGGTCGATGTCTACTCCCTATCTGAGTCGGGTACTATCGAATTGGACATGTCTAACCAAGGGCATGAAGAACCTTTATTTTCATTTCATGTAAAAAAGGCGGGTTGATAAGTGCCTTGTGTAACTTGGGAGGAACTGGGCATTGATGATATTCGTGAAAATACAATCCTTGCCCCCCCTACAATACCTACGTTGCGAAAGTGGCACGGATGTCCTCTTATAATTACGAAGTTTCGATTTCTTTTTTGGAACCTATGCAAATGATCGTGCAAGCAATACATCAGGGAGGGCCCAGTGACAGTAACGCAAGATGCCTGGCCGTACCCAAGCCAGAGAACCGCAACAAACCACGTAGTATTTCTTATCATTACACCACGTCCTGCTTGCTGTTACTATAAATGAGCGACTTGACTGATAACAGGCGTCTATTTAGGAAGCGTGATTTTATCCACTGGCCAAGTAGGGTTATGCTAGAGCTAAGTCTCTAATTGCTTCTTAGCCGCATAGGAGTACTACCGCATTAGAATATATAGCTGTGCTTAATTAAGCCGCAGCATTTAAACTAGGCTCTGAATACCGCGGTTGCTACCGAAATCTTGGTTCACTTCAAAGTGAAAATAAAAGTTACAAAATTTCATGTCCAGAAAATACGATTTCGAAAAAGTCAAAAGTTGGCAGGTTGTAATGATATAATTTCTTGTCTCGACCAAGTGTATGTTCAAACCACTCAGTTGTCTTGCTATTTGCTTTTCATTTTTCATCTAAATACCACACTTCCATATATATCTCCCCGGTTATAAAAGCATCTGATAACGCAAATGATGAGTCCTGTATTTCATGACTTTTGCTTCAACGAATCCATCCCATGTACCTCCATGGCAGCACAATTCCAGCTACAGCAGCCGTAGCTCCAGTGAACAAGATCAACGGCCCGTAACCGCTGCCATAAGCCGCATACGCCTCGCCTTTCCAGAGCATGTGGTCAACCAGAGCCTGGCTGAGTGGCCCAGACAAGACGCTACCGATGCCTCTGCCAGCGGCAAGCACTGCCATGACCATGACGGGATCTACCTCCTCGCATCGGTACTTGGCAGAAATGGCGTTGTCCGTGGTGACCTGTCGCATAAGCCCGGTCCAGGCAGATGTGTACGATCCTGCGAACAAACCATAGAATCCGCAGTATGTGAGCAGTAGCGGTATGGAAGTCGCGAATCCCCATATTAGAAACGTTGCGAACGAGGCGCCGACGGTCGCGATGAACAGGCAATTGGCGACGTGAAGGTTGTCAGATAGCCATCCCATACTTGGACATCCGACAGTCGATGCGAGGTTGAGAAGCAATACTGTGGCGGCAGCTGGAAACTCCCCAGAGCCAAGGACTGATCGAGCATACGTTGGTAGGTATATGCTCGGAAGGAAAAACCCCAGCGCCTGAACAATGTTTGCCAGCATATGTAGCACGAATGTTTGGCCGAGGGCAAATCGGAAGTTGAATGGGTTAATATGCTTCTTTCGAAGTTGAGGCGGGATCCGGGGTTTGATAAAATACACCAATGGCAGGGTGAGGGCCAGGAGACCCCCGGCGCAAAAACGAAGTGTCGTCTGAAAGCCAAACTTGCCCAGTAGGTATTCCAGAAGGAATGGGAGTATCGAGCCCGAGAGTCCCGTACCGGCCCACATGATGCCGTAGGCCATTCCCTTGCGTTTATCAAACCACTCGTTTAGGTACGCAATGCACGGACAGTATGATAGAGAGCTGCCGATGGCGAACAACACGCCCTGTGTCAAGACTAGATGAGGGACTTTGGTCGAAAACGAGGCAGCGATCAGCGCAAGACACATGGTCAGCACGCCTATTACTGGTGACCATGTACTGAGTCGAGGGTATTGCCGCTGGATGCCCATGGAAATAGGCATGCCCAAGTACATGATGCCCTGGTCTGTTGTTAGTATCATGAGCTGCACCAGCCCCGAATGGTAGGGAGTTACGTGCCGTGGCACAGGTGGCGACCGCAGGGAGTCCTGCGGCGTTTTTAAAAGGTTCGTGTGTGCTATAGTATTCTTGAAACACTCCGTAGGCACCGGGGAATCCTTTGTGTATGAGTTAGTAAGGTGCGTATAGAAAATACAAATATCCATGTCTACTTACCCAGAGCCAACCCTTCGACCATAAACGACGCAGTCAAGAATAGCCAGGCATGAGACCCCCGGTCCGCAGGCCGGAAAAATGGATTCTTTTCCCTCCACAACTCATCCCTCTCTCCATCAGATAATGATGTTAAACTGTCATTTCTACCCTCCTTATCGGTCAACGATGTCGTCGAGTCCATGATTGCGGAAGATTAACATTTATTATATCTGGTGAAAGTCTCAGACCATGTCAGGCCAACAAAGAAAGGGCCGGCTTTTCAAAGGTGAGAGTTCCCAGACTTATCAAAAGCGCAGTTGTGTCTTCTTTTATTAAGCCCGAGTGGTCGGGTTGTGATGGACATGTGAGTTCACGATTAACATTGGAATGACGACGAATGTGAGACATGACACCTGCCCATGCCGTAAAGAGTTTTAGTGATGGCAAGTCCTGGGCTGGAATTTGAAGCTTGGACAAGTCCTCGTCCTGTGACAGCACCATCACGATGTCAAGGTAGTTTCAGTAATGACCCGCAAGAGCTCCAAATGAGCTGTCTCTTATTACGAAGTTGCAAATTTACTTGTCATCTATGAATCTGGCTGGGACGCTGTAAGGGAGTCGTGACGGTGGATATACAACCAAGTATAGCATCTGGGATCAGCACCTGTTGGCTTCACGCCATGTGTGTATTGCTTTCCTCGGCAGGATCAATGTAGCTTGGTCATACGCTTGTTTAGACATGACACCTTAACGCATCATGTCGACTACTTCAATATACTCACTTCAGCCTCTCATTGTGTTTGTGCAAGTTGATGTTCTGGACAGTGCATTTTCAGAGGTCCGAATTGTGCTTGCTAAAGGGAGAGCAAATGCCCCAATTAGGAACTTGGGCATCATTCCTGCCAAACTAGGTAGCGCCAACTGTTGTCTCAGAAATAGCGCAGATTGTTGTCTCATGGTCTGTTTCATATCCGAAATGGCTGGCCAAGTACGAACAGGTAGGAGAGATCCACAAATGTGACGAGACCGTGTCTTAAATAGGAATTCTGCCCGCCTCATGCTACGTCCTGAGTGCGTCGTCCTACGTATCTGATGGACAATGCTCGTTGATATTGGCGACACCTTTTCCGGTAGCTTTCATGGAAACCCCTGGTAGTAGCAGACATGACATGCTGATATGGGTTGTTTCTTGGTTTTACAGTTGATAGGATCAGGGATCGCGTCACCGATGCACGTGCTTGGTGGCAATGAAACGTCATGCGTTGCATCATCTCGTGAAAACCCGAGCCCACAACACACAAGATCATGAAGACTTTTGTGACAGAATCTAGACTTGGCTATCGTCTTGCGATTGGTCTATTATGGGCTGTTTGAAGATGCCTCGGTCGGCGAGCGGCGGATTTGCATCGCAAATTCCAGCGGGTGGCTGGGGTTGATAGCCGGCATCACATTGGCAGGATTAAGGGGTTTGTATATGTCATCGATTTCATTGAGACCCGGGGCGAATCATCATGTGTGCTTGAGGCTATCGTACATCCAAAATTTGGCAGCCGTCGTGCGGATGGTCTGCACGGTGATCAAATCACCTGCGGAGCAGCAAACCTACAGGAGGTCAATGAGTAAAAATGTGCGTTGTAAAAGCAGTTTCGTCAACTGAAGTTCTACTAGACATGATACGGTTAGCTTAGCTCTTGTCTATATGAATCCGCAGCTCCGGCACTTTGAATATCATAACTCCGACTCATCTGCCATGGGCCGGTGACAGGGTACTGCCACTAGCAAACCATCTATTTAGCTCATCACACCTCGGCCATTTGTGATTTCCGTCGCGGTCGATGAGAAACCCAGGGACTCACGATCTGCGCGCACAGCCACCTCCCACAAATCTCTTAGCATCCCCGGAGCAGAGTTCCTCGGCAACTCGCTTTCCACACGAACTTCTCCCCTCTCCCTCCTAACAGCACATTCCTTGGGCAAAAAAAGAAGATCATCCTGAAACCTCCGGCCCTAAAACTTGGTTACAAACGGCTTTCACTGGCATAAAAGCTTTGCGGCCAAATGACTTCGTTTATCGTCGGCAGGATCCCGATGTCCAACCAGAAACATGTGCCAACGGACCCATCCGATATAAGTTCAGCACCTCGCTCTTGATGATACGTTTCAAATGGGGTATTTTGGTAAAAGGTTATTTGTATCATCACATATCCGTTCTTGATGATGGGCCCTTGGATATATACAAATATTAGACCGCGCAGTCGTAAGCGGGAAATAAAGCCAGTTTGTAGTATTTGAATTTTTAAATATTTTCCGGAATACCGTGGCCATATATTCTAGACTAGCAAGTTGTGCAGAATAAAATGTTGCGTCTAGTGGTAGTTGACACTGCAGGCAGCCAGCGTTCCCATATCCTTGTTTCCAAACGCCGAGACACCCAAGTACTAGTGAAGACAAACGAGGCCCTCGATGCTAGTCAACAGATCCCCGTCACCACCTGAATTTGTGTGTAACTGGCTCAAGCATCTTGCCAGGTATCTGCCACCCAGAACTGCGAATAAGACAATACCATTTATTTTACGTAACGAGAATACAGTAGTGTAGGGTAAAGATTTAGCTTGGCATTCCAAGTTCCGATAACTCCTGGTGCTGGTGCCGATGTAGCCTGGTACGGAGAGAATATTGCCTGCGAAGCACCAGGGAGAAGTGCATATGCTATAATCTATCCCTTTGAATGTCCGCAGGTGCCATTTTGGTAACGACCAAGAATGTTAACCAATTAAAGATATGAGATTAAAAGATGCTTGACTCACATAAAAATTTACATGGTAAAGAAAGTACCTGATATATAAAAAGCTACAGGCAGATAAGAGGTTACCCTGCTTGTGAAAGATGTACTTGGCGAGTATCGGAGAAAACTGGCACCTGCGCACACTCAAGGGATACGATTTCACCGCAGGACATGGAAGGCCCACAATAGCGGGTGTGAATGGAAAAAAATTATCAAAGAGGCCGCGATAATAAAAATGCAAGATTATTATAGATATCAACAAAGAACAAGAAAATCTTGATGCCGCCCAAAGCATGACATCCGACAATGCACCGGCATTAAGGACGGCAGCGTAAGGTAATGAAACCTTTTTACTATAGCGTCTAAGGAGCTACAAATACCCTAGAGTCAGATATCAGTTTTGGGCTGTAAAGAAAAAAAACAGCCCGTTTGTCAGCATAATATTTTCTCACGTACCGAGTAAAGATTATTTTAGGGTTAGGGTTAGAATCAACTCTCCATTCCGCACTTCCCCCAAGGCTCTCTCTCTGTTTGTATTTATACCCACATCTTAGCTGCTGCTTCCAGACGCCCCAAAAACATGGTACGATCTTTCTCCTCCAACCCTGTAGCATCAGTTACTGCGTTGGTCGCGCTACGTATTTCCGGCCGACGTTGCAAAGCCCCTTGTGCCCGCCAGCATCGGATGGGCGTCGAGGTCATGGGCGTCAAACGTACTAATGCGCTTTACATGTTGACATCAAGGACAATGATACCCCGTACCGGGGTTCAAATGTTGGGCATTCGCCCACCAAGAGCGCAATGTGACTGTGCCTTGATCCCTGCATCGCCCTACGCAGGGTCCCAAGCCATTCATCCCCTTTCCCAACCCAATGAGGGTTGGGGTTCGTCTCGTCACGCCGCCAGGAACATGACTTGTCCTGTGGAGCATCGCTTGAATACCAAGACCAGACCAGTTCAAGCTAATCGAGGGAGCGTCTGAAAACTGGATACAAGCTATGCGAACTCCTGATGGCAAAATAAAGAAGATAATCACGCCTCTCCTTCATCATCACCAATCCCCAGAACCCTCGCTGCAGCCCGCTGCACATCGCGGCTGCATGAGTCACCCACCGCGCGATGCGCCCGTGGCCCAACCTCGTCGCCGTCCTCGTCTTGCATCTCTTCACTTCATGCTGTCAAGGCGCCTGGGTGAGAGACGCCTGGGTCAGGAAGTATCCGTGTGGCCCCTTGCGACCCGACTTGCCGGCACCAGACAAGCCGTTCTGGATTGACAGCCTGCGCGGCAAGTTGGAGACGGTGGACGGTTCGACGCAGTTATCGCTGTCTATCCTGGGCGTGCACAATACTTCGATGTTTGGTTGCCTGGATCTCGATGTGGCGAGGTTCGAGAAGGCGCTGGGCCTCGAGGTGCTCGGATATCCCGTCGGCCGTCTTGGACATTTTGGCGTGACATGTCCTCTGCCGATTGACGACTCTCTCACACCGTAAGTACATGTACGGCATATGGGGGACTTGATGATTTCCTTTTCGTCGACTGATTTGCCTAGTTTCGATGGCTATCGCTTCTCAGCCTTTGACGTGGTCTACCTCCTCAACCACACCCATCAACTCCAGAGCCTCGTCGCCGAGTTCCGCTTCCACCACGTCGAGAATGGCCACGAGCTGGACTGCACCGTGGCTAAAATCACGCCGGTCATTGGAACCACCGCGTCGGCTGCCTTGACGTACCTGCCCGCCGGGATCATGGCCCTCGTCGGCCTGGCCTCCTGGCAAACGCACGTTGGCGAGCTGGCAACCAACCCTCTCTTCGAATACGGTTCCGCCATGGCCGGCCGCAGCCTTGTCTGGGAGACAATCGTCGATGTGGCCGACTACCTGCGCCATCTTCAGTTTGTCTTTCTCTCGGCGTCCTTGAGCATCGACTACCCGGGCTTCTACCAGCCCGTCGTCAGCAAGATTGCCTGGTCATCGCTGCTGTTCTGGAGAGGGCCAATCCATCACGGCTTCACGCATCAGAGCGTGCAGCAGGGCATGTATATCAGCAACGCGTCCTACGGCCTGGACTACATGGCGCAGGTGCTTGGCTTTCCACGGGTGCCTGACAGTATGCTGAATGCCTTTGTCAACCTGCTTCTCGTCGCCTCCGTCCTCTTCTTCATCTTGGCCGTCTGGTACCTGTTGACATCACGGCAAGGCCAGGGGACGCCGTGGCGTTCCCTGCTCCAAATGGCGGGAGGCATGGCGGGAGGCGCCGTCCTGTCGCTCTTCAGCTTCCCTCTTGTGACGTACATGTCTGATGACATGATATTCATCGGCTACCTGCCAAACTACCGCATCGCCTTGGCCGTCATGACCCTGTTGGTCCTTGTCTGTGCAAACTATATTATAACTCACCGTTTCGGGAATAATCGACAACTGAAACCTGCTTCTCACGCCGAGTCGTCTCGCGGTTGCCCGATGTCATTAGACTGCAGTCGGTTGTGGACATATACTTCTTACTATCTGCCACAATCCATACCGCTCCTGCAGGCGATTGTCATCGGAGCTCTGCAAGATTGGGGCACGGCACAACTACTCGTACTCACAAGCAGTGAAGCCGTGTTTCTCCTCCACGCCACTCTGCCGCGAAGCGTCAAGTGCAAGTTCCTTTGCTCAAAAACCGTCTGGTGCTCCGTCGTCCGCCTGGTGACTACCTCCTCGCTCAGCATTGCCGTTATAACCGCCGCGAGCGAAGCCACCAAGCAATGGGTTGGCTACGCAATGCTCTGCCTTCACGGGATGGTCATCTTACCGGGCTTCTCTTCCCACGCAATCTGGCAGCTATATCGCGCAAACAAAAAGGGGGGCCATCTGTCCCAAGAGGCCTACTTGATAGACTCTCACAGCAGCCATTCAAACGAACAAGTAAGTTTCCTCGGCAAACTCCCCCATCGCCACAGAAACTGACCTGTCAGACGTTGAACCTCGACGACATTGGCTCTCACTTTGTCCGCATGAACAGGCAACGCCAGCGACACGAGACCCCAGACATGCCGGACGAACGACTGCGCAGTCTCCGAGACTATCCACGCCCAGCCCTCAAGACATCACCCGCGCCTCTGCAAGATGCCAAGCAGGCGCCTGCCCTCCCCCCGGCAGCAACAGACGCAGACCACCAGCTCGACTTTTCCCCGTTTTACAGAAAACCACGGTCCCGCAACGCGACCCCATACTCGCGCCCTGATTCCTCCAGGCAGTCTTCAAGATCGAGCGTCCCGTCGCCCACGCCGACCAACGAGTCCGATCCAGAGCCGGGCCCTTATTTCCAACCCCAGCGGCAGTCGCAGGAAACACTGGACGCGCTCCTGGAGGCATCCCTGCCCCCAGACGTGGACTACTCCGTCAGAGAATCGGATCGTTTCTACGGGAGACCGGTGAGCGGCTCGGCGAACCCCCTGGTGACGCCGGGGGCGGCGGGCAGACCTATCCACCAGGACTGGAGGCAGATGATTCCCGAGATTTTCAAACACCAGAAGAAAGAGAAGGGGTTCCAGGTTGTCCGGCCGCCACGCCCGCCGCAATGACGTTGGAGGGATGAAACATTATGACCAGCCGTGTCCAACTGCTACATGAGCCGAAACACGAAAAGTATACATGTTTCGTATGGATAAATGAAAAACAAAAATGTGTATAAATTGGAGTACCTGAAGCCTGGCCATTGTCAAAGACGATGTAAGCGACCCTGGGGCAATAAAGTCGAGCGCAGAAATGCATCAGCCCCAGAGACGGGTGCTGTTGCGCATTTGGGACTGTTGACGCCCAATACCCACTCGCTTCTGAAGAATTTCCCATGGATAGATTGTTGACATGCACGCTGATCTGCTCCGTCTGGTCTTGTCATGATACACCGGTGAGTCGAGTGAATTCGGGCACCGGAACACATTTCCTTGGCCGCCCATTGTACCCACGGCGACAGAATCATCAAGAAACCGACGTTTGACTAGACGGCTCCCGGGAGTTCCCCAAAGAGATGGGTGATTGTCTTGCAGGCGTGCTTGCACTGTCGTTGTTTGCGACGACGGAGACATGTGGCATGAAGGAGACATGGAGGCTTCAGACGACAGAAAGTGCTAGGCAGCACTTGGGCCGATGGCATCTCCAGGCGAAGCGCGTTAGGCTGAGGGTTGGTAAAACTTAGAGCTACCACTAGCCGAAATGCTAGTTATCCCTTCCATCATGGCATAAACGTACAGCTTCTTGCAAGGGTGGCTTTTACGGATTGCGAAACTAGATATAGGATACAGTTTATAAACCTTATTATTTGGTAGCTGGAGCTCTCACCCTGGAATCTGAATCGGCTGGAGCATCATCGCCAGCTGGTGATGACCGAGCGCCATGATGGTGCTGCCTTGCACAGTAAATTCTCCAGTTGCTGAGCTGCCCTCGCAAAACTGAGAGAATGAAAAATCTAATCATGGTTACAATACAGAATATAATACACTTAGTCGAGACTCTGGGCCTCACACATCTTTTTATACATGCCCCCATGGGCAATCAGCTCCCCATGCGTCCCCCTTTCGACAATCCTCCCCCCGTAAAAGACACAAATCGCATCCGCATCCTTGATAGTTGACAGCCGGTAGGCCACTGCGATTTTGATCCGGTCCCCTTCTTGTGCTGCTTCAGCAAGAGCACTCTGTACAATTTTTTCGCTCTCCGTGTCAAGAGCACTTGTTGCCTCGTCTAGCAGCAGAACCTTGGGGTTTCGAATGAGCGACCGTGCAATGGCGATGCGTTGTCGCTGGCCACCGAATAGCTGAGCGCCGTTTGAGCCGGCAGCCGTGGACAAGCCGACGGGAAGGGAGGAGACGAAATCCCAGGCATTAGCGGCGCGGAGAGCGGCTTCAATTTGGGCATTGGCGACGGTGGTGCCGACGTTTGTGGGGGATTTTGGTGTAGAGCTCGAGGAGGGGTCGTCAGTGCCAAGAGCAATGTTTTCCCGGATGGTTCCTTGGAAAAGCGTTGATTCTTGTTGTACGAGAGACACCATGTTTCGGTATAGGCGAGGGTTGAGGGTCGTTAGATCCTCACCGTCTATGCGGATGCTGTCGGTGGATGGGTCGTATAATCGCTCGAGCATGGCAATCATGGTGGATTTGCCACAGCCTCAAGCGCCTACAAAGGCAGCAAACTAACCTTTTCTGATCTGCGGTCTGTGAGAATAGTGTCATCGACGGCCCCGACCGCAGTCTTACTTACCTCAAGGTCGACTCCTCGCAGGACTTGCGTATCCGGTCGCAGAGGGTACGAAAAGCGCACGTGATCCAAAACAATAGGATCGCCAGACTTGGGGCCCCTTGTCTTGGCTTTCGGGTGTTTCTTGAACAGTGAGTTGTAATTCATGTAGCCAGAAGATGTAGTTGGCGGCATTCTTGCACTTTGTCATGCCTTTGTGCTGGGTCAGCACCACCATTTCACAGCCCTTGGACGAGACATACTGGTTGAGAATTGGAACAGCAGCGAGGTAGCTTGCCCAGAGAAGAAGACACCCATAAACGTGACAAAAAAGTCAAACATGCAGATCTCCCTAAGCGACACAAGCCGGCATCCGTACCTGGCCAAGTTAGCACATAGCCAGGAACCATTTCGCGCCCGGGACAGCTCACCAAAATCCAAGCGCCATGAACCAGTACTCAATCGACTGTGTTAAAGCAAACAACGGCTTAACTGATCCGCTGACCGCATGCTCGAGCTCAGCCAAGTTTGTCCAAAACGGACTCTTCAATCGCCAATAAGGATACAGTCCGAATAGCTGTTACGGCTCCTGGTGCAATTGCCGCACTATTGGAGTTGCGCTTTGAGATTGCCCGATCCAGCTTTGCGTCGAAGCGAATCTTGAACCATCCAAAGCCAATGAACGGCCGAAGCCCAGCTAGCACGACTACTAGACCCAATTTCCAGCTATAAGCGATTCCCAGGACGCTGCAGGCAAGAACATTAAGCACAGCAATCAGAATGAGATCAACGTTGAAGCCCATAAGTTCTAGGATGGCTTGTTGGTTGGAGTCGACGCGGCTTGCGAGAGCACCAGTGTTGCTCTCTGCGGCCAAAGAATGGGAGATCTTGCCGTAGCATGTCGTTGAAGCTTTGCCTCCAAAATCTGTGAGAGAGTGTCTAGGCAGTCAATACCACGAATAGGGAATAGGTGGCGGCTCGAGCATGGCATACGTGAGCGACAATATTGGTAGTGTACCCAAGAATAAAGTAAGAGATAAAGCAACCGACAGCGAGTACAATAAACATGGCGGCGAAAAAGTTGCCTTTTTCGACCATTGCCGAACCAGTCAGGGTAAAAACATCTGTGACGTTGGCAAGAAGTAGAGCCTGTCCAGGGAATGCAGCAGCTTTGCAGATGTTAGTGATTGGAGAATACAGGTAGTGACTAGTGAACTTACAAGCACCAGCACAACCGAGGAAAACAAGTAAATATGTCCATAGTAGCTCAGGGGACTCTTTTACGAGGCGAAAAATTACAGTGGTGAGTCCCAGCTGTTTATGCTCGTCATAGTCGTCGTGATCTTTTCGTATTTCCATTCGTGCTCGATCTCGAGTCGCTATCTTGCTCAAGGGTTTCGCGAAGTCAGCCGGATCGCCAACAATTACCTCGTCTGTGTCGTCGCTTTCCGAGTCCGATTCCGAAGGCTTGAGTGTCAGGTTTTGAATTTTGACCAGCTGAGCGTAAGCACCATCCTCAGCTAGCAGCGATTCGTGTGTACCCTGCTCAACGATGTGTCCCGCCTTCATCACTACGATGTTGTCCGCTTTGCGAATAGTCGCAAGCTTGTGGGAAACGACTATGGTCGTTCCCCCTTGGATGCTCGGTCCAAGGCCTGTTGCACTACGCCTTCGGCATGTGGATCCAATGCGCTGGTAGCTCGTCAAATAGCAGCACTTTTGGCTGCGATACAATGCTTCTTGCGATGGCAACACGTTGCTTCTGCCCACCGGATGCCATGACAGCCATAGTGGCCGGAGCAATGCACAGCGTAATGAGGGTTAGCTTCCAGTTTGTGGCAAAGGCAACAATGAAGGCGGTTACGAAAGACGACAGGCCCCGGAAGGTTAAGCCAAGCTTTTCTGAGATGCCGCCCTGGATGAGACGGCCGTTTGTGGTGGCTTGCGTTGATATAGAGCCGCCAGTGCCGAGATCGAAGAAGGCAATTTCCTGACTCAGAGCAGCCTTGAGGTACGCATAACGAATAGTTCGGACGATCCGATAAGCGGTATATGTTGGAAGGGAGTTGTATGTGTAGGCAAGAACGAATCGTCCTATTCCTATGCAGACGAAATACAAACTATACCGGCGCCGTTGGGTACATGTTTGATTTCGACTGTGAAGGGTGACGTACGCCAATGTCGAGGAGGCACTTCGCATACCTGCATCCGTAGACTTTCCAGACGCGAAATCAGCCAATACTGTAACGAAGCGACCAAAAACTAAATTTGAAGGGCTATGGCAGCTCCAGATACAGTAGCGGCCAAGGTTGCGACGCCGAGGATGATGTATTCGGTCCCGCCAGCATACTTAAGTACGAAAAGATTCTCTGCCATCAACAGTTAGCCTGAGGGACCCACAACATAAATAGTTCACCGTTGTTCAGCTATCCTACCACGTATCCGCCATGGTCCTCCTTGGCCTCGCCAGGACCTTTCCGGTCAGTCCTCTCATCGCCCATGGCAACTGGCACGGGTTTCTCTGATGCCACATTCATCAACAATGGATTCTGGCCTGCAACAGGCTGCACGCCAATTGTATCAGCCATTATGGCGATGCGTGCTGCAAAACTGATGTTACTGCTGAGATATCAAAACAAGAAGTCAATAGAATCTTTGCGCTTAGGCACTGGCCTTCAAACCGTCGTCACCGAGGATCACCGAACCACAATTTCGCCAGTGTCGGTACGAGCTGAGGAGAGCTGAAGCACCAAGTCATCCTGGAGCTAGAGACTGCCGATTCGTATTTTATAGATGGTGGTAAATTCACGGTCACTTGGAAGAACCGCAAGGCGAGGTGCCAAGCGCCAAGACTGACTTTGATTGATCGAAGTCTAGATTTTGTGACCAGTGCTAGCTCCACCTAATAGGCGCAGCCACTTACTGCTCAGAGGTCTGAGGTACGGTCGCACATTAGCTAAGCTCCGCAAAATCCTGCCAAATTAATTTTTACTACTTAAAATTTACTTAAAAAAATATAAGATAATTTTAAATAATTCTCTTAAAATCATATAATATATAATTTTTATTTTAAAATTTTATAATTATTTTATTTTAATTTTTTAAAATATTTTTACTATTAAAAATTATATATTAGGGTTAGGGTTACTTTAGGGTTATTTTTAAAAAAAAACTTAAAAAACTTAAAAAATAATAAAAAATAAAATAAATTATTAGACTTATAAATATATTTAAAAATATTAAAACTTAATTTTTTATGATTTTTATAAGATTTATTTTAATAAAAAGAGTAATAACCCTAAAGTGTAAACACAGTTACTTTAGGGTTATTTTTAAAAAAAAACTTAAAAAACTTAAAAAATAATAAAAAATAAAATAAATTATTAGACTTATAAATACATTTAAAAATATTAGAACTTAATTTTTTATGATTTTTATAAGATTTATTTTAATAAAAAGAGTAATAACCCTAAAGTGTAAAAATGAATTTGGCGGGATTTTGCGGAGTTAATCTAATGTGCGACCGTACTGAGGGTCAACTGGGGAGCCACACTGAAAATAAGGCTGGGGCCAATGAGCAAGCGAAGCGCGTCATTCAGGTCGTCGGGTCCCGCGCTGCCCGACTGGCCCGACTGCCGGATTACGCATCGCAAACCGCCAGTTGAATTGACCGAGTCGACCCTTGAGCGTGCACGCGTCTTTTATCTTCTTCTACGCCCCCTTGCTGCGCTGTTGTGATACTCGCACAATGAGCGGGATAGTACTTGGAGGCATCCGTACCAAGTCTCCCGTCCTGCGAGGGTGGGCTGCAGATGTCGTCAATCAAGGCAATGTGGAGAATGAGGCGTTTTAACCTTGTTTTCCCGACAGACGTGAACGTTATGCGATGTAACTACGTCGGCTCCGCATGCAGGAAACAAATTACAATCTCAGACTACATACCATATATTATTCGCTAATGTAGTATTCAGGATATCGATCCCTTGAAACTTCAAAAGTTGAGCATGGCACCATTCCGCTATCAAAAGATCCTGTGAAGAGCCCGGCGCCACGCTGGCCAGCTCTGAACTTCGGCCTGATAAGCACGAATCTGATCCCAATCAAGCTCACGTCGGCCAGTATCAACATCAATTTGGTCCAGACGCAACCAGCCCGTGCGCTTCCAGACAAACCCTCCAACCCAAAAGGCAATCAAAATAGGGAATGCCAAGTACGACTTGAAAAAGCCCTTGGCGGTGTTGAGTCCTGTTTTCCCCGGAGGAGCAATAGCAGTAAAAAACTAGCAACCATGGGTTAGTCAAATGGTTGTCATTCAGATGGCGGCGAAAAACCGGAAAGCAAAAAAAAATGCATATATACGAACCTGGGCCGCGAGAACGACAACACACAGCACTAAGCCTACCCACGATCCCCACACGCCAAAGACTGCTTGAAATGGAATCTCCTTGACGGAGTGGCCGTGATATGCCCAGGCGGCTCGGAAACGAATGTGGGACACGCAGATACCCCCCCATGCAAACAACACAGCCAAGCCTGAGATGGCTTGGAGCCAGTCAAATACAACGGGACCAGACGAAGTCAGATTGACATAGGCCAGGGGACCTGTCAAAATAAGGGCAATGACGGAAAACAGAGGTCGCCCGGATCGATCGATGTATGTAAATATTTTGGGCGCATAGCCCTGTTGAGCGAGGGCAGTGAGAGTGCGAGATCCGCCAAACACGGCAGAAACGCCAATAGAGAGGACCGAAATCAGAATAATGGCATTCATGAAGTGATCAAGTCCATTGAGGTTAGCATAGAAGCCGATAAGGACCCACGGAGACGCCTTGACATCGGTGTAGGCCGCGCTGGAAAGTAGACGAGGGTCATTTGCCGGAATAAGCAGGCCAACGAAGAACAAACCCAAGACGT